TGTACTATGGTCCGCTATAACATGGAGTCTTTTTTAAAACATATTTCAATTGATGCAAGGGAAACTTCTGACAAGATGGATCAGGCCCTGCTCCATTTATGGTAACAAAAAAGGAAATTTTCAAAAAAATATGCCACTACCCACGCACGCCAAGAAGCAAAAACCAGTGACAACAACAGCCACAATAATTCGAAAATATGAATGAAGAAATTACAATGACGTCTTTCAGGAAAAAAACTTTTTCCCCACTTTTTTTGATGAAACCCTAACAATTTTTCCATCACTGAAAAGACTCATAGCTCAAATTTTCAAATAGAATTAAAATTTGTTGCAAAATAAAACTGAGAGAATTCTCATTTCTAGAAATGCAAAAGGGAAAATAATAAAGAAATCAAAAATTGCTCGCTGATTGTTTCAAATAAAATGGATTTTCTATAATAATATAAGGAAAAAAAAATCTCTCGTGCTTTATAAAGCATATCAACAAAGAAATATATTAATAAACCGGATTGAAGCACATACTTCAGATTATCTCATAAAATATTCGGTGGATTAAAATGAATAAAATTATCTAAGCTCTTTCTCTAACAAATGAAGCATGTATGAAAGTCAATCGAGATCATCATATATATATCAGTCGTATACCACTGTAATATACAAATTGGTACTTTTGAACTAAAAAAATGTAACTAAGGAAAAAAAAGCAACTATAAGTGACTAGTGAGCATAAATCGAAGATAATTGGGTTTTCCACATTTGATGACACATATTTAATTAAGAAAAAAAAATACTCTTTGTCCGGATACATTCAAATATTGCTTCCAAAGATTTTACTGGTATAAAATAACTAATTTTCTAAGCATCAAAAATTACTTTCCTTCTAAAAAAGTGTACAGAGGAATATTTTGAGTCGAAAGCAAGAAAACAAGAAATCGTATTAACGATAAATGTGACATATACAGAAATGTACCAATCGAAAATAACACAATGGATCAGTAATCTGGAAGATGCGCACCTAGCATTCGTTAACTAATATCAAGTTAACGAATATTAATAATATCAAGCGTAATGCATTGAAGGTCAAAGCATTCCAGTGGCAAATACGATGGAAAGAAATATGATGCACGCCCAACATGTTTACAATAAACAATTTGTTTCGAATGACACTACTTACACTACTTTGCGTCAAAGTAGCAAAATCTGATTAAACAGAATAAGTGCAACTGCTCAAAAATCACACTTTTAGTACAGAGGCATTGCTTCAATTTATACATATGTTAAAGACAAATAAACTCTGAAAATTGCTTTCAACAAGCAGAATCAAATATATATTTTATTTTGTCATCCATTTCATTTAATTCATACCTGGATTAGTCTTAAGAAAGCTGATCAAGCTTATATAAAAAGATGAGTTGTAGAACATCTAATAATTTAGCGTATTTAAAACTAAGGGAGAAATGCTTGGCAAGAGAATTGTTGACATGATGAAAAAAAGGAAAGGAAGTCATTATTGATAACTAATAATGACGTGATGAGGAGAAAGGTACTAAAGCGATAAGCATTAATCAAAGAACCTAAAAAGCTGTGATAGTTCGTGAAACACAAATAATATTTGGTTTTCAACAGATTGGCACTGTCTTTGCTGAAACAAAATAAATCTTGTATAGCCTTTACAGAAGAAAGAAAAAAGACCAATATTCCGTTTCTTTAATTTATTGAATTAATAAATCTTTATCTTTTGTTTTCAATTACGCAATGGATAGAGAAGCAGTATAGAAAGCATAATACACATTATCAAAAACCCCCTCTTTCGATTTATATCTGTTACTCAATAATTTTCTACCGATCTCCAAGATATTACATCTAAGGGAAATATTGTGCCTTAGTAGTATAACAAAATACAACCGATGACCTGCGAAGCACTCACATTTTGAAACAAAAATAGCAGGGAACATACTGGAAAAAATGCTTCCTTGCTTGCATAGAATCTCCAGCAGCAATTGCCTATTTTTTCAACAACACAGCCCACATATTCATGGCAAAACTGACTCTTTTAAAAGTATCTAGAAAAGTACAACAAACATTAACAGCCATTGTTGCACTTTATCCTGGGCATGAATCCCTTTTTTTGGCGATCCCTTCAAGAAATTTGATTCCAATACACTTCCTTGCTATCGTTGTAACAAACCACTCCCTTTCCTCGCGCGAAAATCATCAACCTAATGCTGATCGGTCAATCGAACTCCTTCCAAACTTTCGCAATATCACTTTTTCCTTACTTCTTTCCAAAAACAAAAAATGGACATTTTCACACGTAGAAATACAAGAGCCAAGAGAAGAGAAACATAGAGAGGAAGAGAAACTTGTAATGTTTGCATCTTACATAATCTATCACAAACTGCAAGCCATAGAATAATAGTGAATTAGTTTGAAAAAGCTACCACTGGTCATCTAGTTACTTGTCCTTATCCATTCTATTTATCCCAACAGGAATTAAGGTATTAAAGTTCTACTGACGAGTTCACTTCCATCAACTGCAAGAATGTAATTAATGCAAGTTTGATGTGTGGTTCGTCTAAACCATTTCAATTGTTTTACTGAAATGATTTAGATGAAATACATGAACAGATCCAAAAATTGTATATGAGCCTCTGAGCATGCCATATAATCAATTTTTATGGCTTAACCCACTAAAAGCTGGCTTTTACTTCGCCATCATCTACCTTTTGATATATATTTGTGATGAATATGTGGGTATATTATATTATCACACACATTTAAATTGCAAGACCATTTATCTATGTCAGTATTCAAAAAAAAATTAGCGAAAAAGGAAGATGGAGAAGTGGGAACGGTCAAAAAAAATTGGAAGACGGCAAAAAATTCAACGTTCTGTTCCAATTGCCGTCAAAAAAAGAGAAAATGGAAGAGTGGTGTTGCATCCTTTCGAACATATGGAGATAATGAGTAAAAAAGAGAAACAAGATGTGAAAAGATATGGATATAAAATAGTATGCGTGATATGGCGGATACACATCACTCCGAAAACAAGAACTATCACACTTTCTTTCCGTTAAACATTTTCTTTCACCAGATGATTTTTAAACGTCGATTAAGCAAAAATTGAATCAATCGACCAATCTAGCAAAATCCTAAGTGAGAAAAAAGATCTAACAAGGATTACCGCACAAACTAAACGGAAAATCAGGAGACGAAACAGCGAAATTCTACGTAGCAGTAATAATTTCAAAATCTAAAAAAATCATATCATCGTTATATGATTTTTAACTTTTCCCTTATTAATTTTTGCTCCATTTAAACCAATTTTATTTTTTACGTATCTATCTTGCTGAGAGTTGAGTATTCCATGCAGAAATAAGTTTTTGGCATTTTAAAATTTCTAAATCACAGCGCACTATGATGTGGAATAAGACTATCTCAATCTTCATTAATCGAAATCGTTGAAAAATTAAAACGAAAACTATATATTAATAATTATGACTTGCAGAGATTATATTCTAGTTAATGAGAGCATCTTTGTTCTCCATCCACATGTGAATGGATCCAGTGCTTTAAAATGTGCATCGCTTATTCAAATACGAAATAATATTCAAAAAATCCAGCTATAAGATTTCCAAATTCATAGAATAAGCATTCATCCTTCACTCCTGTTCCACTTGTCCAAAAATCTGGTTCAAAAAATCAATCGACTGTAAAACTTTTCGGAAATATCTACGGATATAAATCGATGACAGCAACAATGATATTGGCAGAACTATTTCCCCACATAGGAGTCCGAATTATACCGCATGGAATCAAAATATGTGAAAGTGAGGTCAGATGGAGAGAAACGCCAACAACGCGGTTAATCAATTTATTTCACCTATTTCATAATGCTAAAATAGGTATCTTAAAACCGATATCGAAATACTGCCGGAAGAAAGCTTAAACTGACTACGGAATTCATGAAGACGAGTCAACTTAAGAAAAAAAGAATAAAAAGAATAAAAAGAATAAAAATCTTGCCTAACAAATCAAACTTTAATGGTTGAAGCTTGATTTAATTTTGCTTTGAAAATATAGTACAAATGTGCTAAGTTACAATGAATGAAGTCGCTATTATTTTTTTATAATGTTACAGCCTATAACATCTGAGGATCTGCAGAAGCAAAATAACAGACTAAGTAGATTGACAAATTTAGAATAGTAATCGCAGTACATAATAAAGTGGAACAATTGTTCTACTGCACTTCTACTGCTGTATACCAATGATATTACCTAACAGTACGCATGATGTAGCGACATGTGGCGCGTCAAACAACTTTCGTCATAGTAAAAGTGCGGCGGTAGATATGCCTTAACAATAATAACTTAAATATGTGAATAAGATGGCTAGTAAAGATGCAACGGGAATTCTTTTTTAAATATGAATTTAAAAACTGCAAATGCAATATTCCTGACAAATTAATAATTCGCTTTGTGTAACCAAGAAAATATCGAATCAGCATTAAAATGTCCATTATATGGACACAATAGAACAAAGGATTTTAATATTCAGAATATAAAAGCAAGAAAAAATTATGACTAATTATCTTCCTCACAAAATATAAAAATCTTCAGTGCTTTCTTCACTATTTACACAACAGTGATTACGCATTTTTATAGGTACTTTACCCAAAAAAAATCGGAATAATATACTATCCTGAATGATACACGCAATATTCACTTTTTTACAATGGATCATAACATCAGACAATGTTTTTAATTGGCATGAATTAAGTGTAATGGGAACTGAGAAATATAATCGGTTAGTGCTCCTCGATCTCGTGATGAAAACATTCTTTACTTGAAATATTTTAAAATGTTTGCATTTTTTTTGGAAACGCTTCCGATAAGCATGGATTTTACACAATTATGATAATACTAGGTGCAAAAAGCACAATCTCAAATAACTTAATTCGAGAAATCTGGAAGAGTCGACCATGCCCTGTGGTTCATTCCTATTTACCACAGCATAAATGTATAAACATTTGATACACAACATTAGGGCAAATACTAACTTGATAAAGAGGTGCATTCATCGGATTCATAGGATCTTTCGCAGCCGCGGCAGCAGTTCCATCAAAACTTGAATAACGCATTGCCAGTGGATGATTTGTAGTTCCAACAACTTCTCGTGTGACGCCTCCCTGCTGCTGGGCTAAATTATGTGGCGGAAGAATAGCCATTGACGCCCAAGGAGGGGTCTGAAATAGACTGGCCATGCAACCAGCCTGAAATTTCCTCGAATTGGTATATATTTCGACAAAAATTCGTCACAATTTTTTTAGTCTCAGGGTTTATTTAAGAATATCTTAATTATAAAGTCTAAATATTCTCTAGCATTCAATCACCATTAAATTCATCCACTGTTAGATAAGACCGAGATTACGACGTTTTGCGACATCAAAGTCATAATCTATGTTTTAGAAACAAACACTCAATTCAATGGCAAGACAAAGCAACGCACCAATTGAAGAAAACGCAATCGAAAATTAAATTTTAAAAACGAACTTCATCATGAGTGCTCATATTAGGTGTATCATTCGCGACTGCACAAACACTGGTAGCAGCAGTGATTGGCTCCTCTTGCTTCAACTGTCTGGAACCAGTGCCACCACTAAGAAGACGCTGCGAAGCTGCAGTGCTATTACATTCGCTAATCTCGCCACAAACATCAATGTAATTTTTAGTGGAGGAAGACGACGACTGATTCAACATTACATCCAAGTTTGATCTATAAAAAAGAACCCCGAACGCTTCATTGCAACGCAATTATTTAAAATAAAAAAGTGCAACACTTGAGAAATTTACATCAAAATTGTTTTGAAAATCGGTATGATTTTTCTCTGATTTCTCAATCAATCCACTTCTTCCCACCACATTAACCACACCTCTATATTTCAATAAAACGATGTTCCTTTACTTTGCAAGAATAAAGATTCTTGAATAAACGAACAAATTATCAGTTAACCTAAGTTTCGTAGAGCATCTCTGAAAGAAAATTACACTTTTTCCCAGCTGCCACTTTTGCTATGATATTATTCTATGAAAGTCTTATGCAGGGATTCTTATTCCGACTTTACAATAACTCAATTTCTATCAAAACAGCACAGAATTACATACGTAAAAAACGCCTATATCGTGTTACTAAGTGTGAGTTTCTCCGAAGACCTTCAACTCTTTCCGTACCGATCATTTATTTATAATTCAAAATGTAACATTTTCTTAAAATTATTAGCTTTATTTTTACACTAGCATAGAACCAAACATGTATGATGTAATCAGAATAATGTGCGAAAGCATCCAAAAGATGCATATATTCATGTACTCGATGTGATTAATTATTTACTTTTTCCGTCTGAAAGACTCATATTTGCAGCTGAACTACAAACACTACCAAGTACGACGATCCAAATTAGCCAAGTGAGGATGATCCAAATTAATTGTCAAAATTGGAGCACGATGAACATACTTCAAAGTGAACAGAAAAAAGTGTTGCAGAGAATTAAGAAGCTCCACTCGGTAATACTATCCAATAATACGTATGATGAAGTTCTCCACCCAACTTACCACTAAAATATTCAGTGCTTACATCCCTGAAAATTAAAAAAATTAATGAATTAGGTCCATAACTACATTACACAATGATAACTACACAGTATACACTCACATTATCTGCAATTTTCTTTGTTTCATGCTTTTGATGAAATTACGCGGCACGCTCAGATCAGTTCATTTAAATAATTTTGTGAGAACGATAAAAGAATTAAAAAAACCGGGAAGTCCATGAGCTTTGGAATTTATTTTATCTAGTGAACCTCAGGAGTCAGATTTGCTACCATTTCAGGTATATCAAATCTTATCTCAACATCAGTAATGCACATTAAATTTCAAAAGTAATTGTAAGACAGCGGAAAACATGCTAAGTTTCTATGGCATGGAAATTCAAAAATTATTAATGTTCCCATGCTTTTGAATTCCCACACTACAAAATTTAGCGTGTCTTCGGCAATTTTATAATTACTTTTAAAATTTAATGTGCAACCAGGTTAGTCAAGGTTTAGTCAAGGTAATTATTTAAGAAAATAAACGTTGAATGAAAATTGAAGGGAATTTGAAAAGCCGCAAGCTATTTATTGAAGCATTGATAAGATTTTATCTGCTCTATTGAATAATCAAGTCAATCAGACCCAAAGTATCTACTTTATAAGATAGAAGTGAATTTTCAAAGATCTCCAGATGGGACTGGGAAACAGTTTATCTCTACTTCAGATCATATCAACATCAAACGATATTGCTAGAAAATCAAGTATAAGAACATGAGTGAAGTGGCAAGATGAGCAAGAGAAGGAGCCTGCTAGTTGCTGCGTGTACGTTAACTTCGGATATCTTCCAACCATACATTTCGCGGCATCCACTTCTATTCAGGAATTCGATACAACCAATTTCTCAATTACCCGTGCAGACATTCAGAGCTACTCTTTTCTTTTCGTCTTCTTTTAACAAACTCTGAACAAGCACCTTCAAGTAACAATTCACGCCATCGCAGAATCTCATATTTTTAGTAGTAATCAGTAACAATAACTGCTTAATGATTACATTAATACACCCCAGTGACAAAGTCCCGCCATCTAAACCATCAAGGATGTAGGTAGGAGAGATGTGCCATCCACCAAACACAACCCCTCCCACTTCCATCACCGCACGTTTGTAAAAGCCCACCCAGATTATTACTTACGCTCTGCAGCTGGATAAACCGTACGACCGTAAATAGTGACTCCTTTCAAGACTCTCCCTACTTACAATAGCACTCTTGCATTTTATGGAGCCGGAGACACGTTCTCGAGAACGTCAGTGGCTCTACTTGTTTCTTAGAATACGTCACGCCAGACGATGAAAATAACTAATGGATACGTTTTTGCACATTTTTCTTTCAAGTTATGAAAGAGATGTTGATCCCCTACCGGAATATGATGAATCTTTTCATACTCTTTTTCCACTTGTTTCATTGATCTCTGTGCGTCTTTTCCTAAGTGAAGAAAACTTTCCCACTTTTGGCCATGCCTACTCAAGTCAAGAAGTCCAAAAATCCCAAGTTTTTGGGCCGAAAACATCAGAGAGTTCATAAGGCATACTTAATTTTTATCATATCAATCAAAAAAAGAAGCAGAATCCAAATCGGATGAAAAGTAGTGTGCAGAAATCCTAGCTAGAACATCTTTAATATTTTTCATTGTATGACTCAAAAGCTTCAGAATCATTCAATGGAGCTGATTTCTTCTTACGTTCCCATTGTTTCCGCATTGATGGCTTGATCCGTTCAAATGGACGCATCTTTCCCTCCGATTCTAATATTCGTCGTTTGTTTTGTAATTCTCTGAACAAGTACCACTCCTCTACGGATACACGGCCTACTTTTTTTGCGAACTGTTCCTCACTGCTATCTAGAATCTTCTTTAGTTTTGGATTTTTCTGAAAATATAATGTACAGACTAAAATGATTTAGACTGATATTCATGAGAAATAGAACCACCATTACGCTAGCATCCAAAAATTCAAAGAATTATATAAAAATAATCGAGATCCATGGAGTAAAAATACATGACTCAGTTTGTCTTATCAGTCCAACAGTGTTAAGGGAAACAAAACCTATGCGATATGATAAATCTTCAATATGAAATTATTTAAATCTGAAGTTTTCAGCCTAAATCCAGATCTTATCACTAAAGAAATCTTCAAATCCTGTATAAACAAACCATCTTTAACTGCGGTCTTTTTATATCTGGAGTTTTGTAAGTGCCTGTTTTCAGCAAGAATTCATGGCGATCGATTAGTTCCTCCAGTGATATGTGCGCGAGGTTCTTGCAACTTTCAAAGTCCTCCCCCTCCATGAGCATATAACAATAAATGTATTCAATTTTATTCTCTATTTCGTTAGTATTACCAAGCAATATTTCTGGAGAGGATTTTAACAGCGAATAAAACTGAAATGCAATTACCGGCTATTCATTATTTTCTTTAAATTTCAATTAAATATATAATTTTTCTGGGATAAGGAGGTTAGAATGGTCTAGACAGTTCCTTTACCCTCCGAAAGAATGGTTCAGTTTTTTATATGTTTGGAATAGAGAAATTTTCCATAGAAACGAAGGAGACATTGTGCTCATGATATGATACTATATATATATATATATATATATATGGAGAGACAGACCTGATTTTTACTGAAATGAGAAAATAAATTCTCAGCATTTTGAGACATTTTACTGGACTTCTGAGCAAAGAGTAACGCAGGACATGCACAAATGGCTTCTCCTAATTTTTCATCTTGGAATCCATATGAATCAAGCACTTCCATGCATTTCTGAATTTCTTCAGGTCCTGTTGATAGTAGCTCTTCATTATACCTAAAAAAAAGATACAATGAATCTTAATTTTCGCGAGCAAAATTCAATACAACACACTTAATCAATAAGAATAAGCAATGGTCAAATAAATTAATGGGATACTGAAACAATCTAAAGCAACACAAAAACACCTACCAAACTGATAGATAATATGAGACTTACGTTGCGAAAATGCGGATGGAGTCTTCATAAGAAAGCTGACAGAAATCCACAATAAGTTCTATTATCTGGATGCTTGTTTCGCCTTTTTGAGTTAGTGACACAAATAGCTGAGGTACAGAGACGCAGGAATCAATGATGAACTCCGGCTGAATCCCTAAAATTAATAATTCAGATCAAAAGCCTCAGCAACTTAACAAAATCTCATAATTTTATTAATTCCAAATAAAGTCAGCCGTCTCTGATGCCACTTGACACCATTGGTTTCCTCATCTTTGAAAACTTTATTTCAATATTTCCCATATTATGATAGGAACAAAAAGCTTACCGACATCAAGGAGAAGTTTGAAAGCTTTCGTGACAGCTTTAATAACGGTAACATCATTCACAGGAAGTATAAACAGCTTTCCATTTCTTCGCAGCTCAGCCACAACTAGTTCCACTATTTCCAAACCAGGAATTGATTCTTTAGCTAACACTTTTGGAGCTATCGCCTCCACCATTCGTATGTCACCTCTGCACTCCATTTCAGTGCAATCAGTCTTTTCGAGACCTTTTTGGATGCCATATTCTGTTCCTTCTAAGCTGTAGCTGAGCTTGCGTTGCTCGCACTGAAGCAGAACCTGAAATTTAAACATCTAGAGTATTTCAGGAATAGAATGAAACGATGAACCATTCAAGTACTTCGTTCTTAGAAAAATCATAAAAACACATACACTTAACGAACATAACGAATGCGAATATCTTCTATATCTTTGTTCCTGATTTAAATATGTGGAAATGAGTCGAAAAAATTCACGCTTGAAGCAGGATACTTGTGATGGGAGGAAATAGCGAACTGAACTAGCCAAAACCGTCCTGCTGAGAATCATTGCTGCAATACGAAAGGTGCAATTTCCAACATAAAACTTTCAAATTCTATCATTCCCTCAACATCAAGAAGTCTAAACTTAACCTCCAATGTTCCAATACTTGAAGAAACAAGTTTCAATGCCGTAATACCGAGAGCTCCATTTAACCGAGTTGATTGGAAATACGAAGTAATCGAGTAGAACATTAAAGCATTATATCAGTTATTAAAGCATCGGGAACCTGTATCATAATGCAGCTTCGACATACTATGTTATGATGTTAAGACTAAGAAATGGCGTTGAATTACTCGATTAACTTGGTGAGAAAGTTATGGCAACAATACAAATAATGAGAAAAGATCGCTTCCTTTTGGAACGAAGAAAAAATTTCTTACCAAAACTAATATCTTTAAGAACTGCACTACTTCCAGTTATGAAAAATGTCTTAAACGTAACCATTGGCACTGTAAGCAAATTTGCGAAGATATTTTCCCAAATATAGGCTTTCAGTATTTTTATCAGAGAACCAAGAAATAATTCATTATAAACATAAAATTTTCACAATTGATGATCTGCATTATGAGATTCAAGCTACACAGAATAATATAAGTTTAATAATCAACATTTAATGTAAGTTAATCTAGCGCTCATTTGCTTTATGAGTAAAGACAAACTGACTGGTGCGAAGAACTGAGCAAAAGATTCTTGAAAACTGTAATTCTTAGCAACCTAAATAAACATTTCATTTCCTATCTGCTCTGTCCCTCGCTTATTATTTGCACTAAAAAGTCATTTCTCACTTGAATCATGTTACAAACTGTTATAAACTTGTAGTTTAATCATCTCAAAATAAAATCAACTGTTAACAGCAAAGAAAAACTGGGAACATAACAACGTCGCAATGCAAGAAAATAGTAAAAATGCACTATATAAATAAGAATAAAGTGGGCAATGTAAGAAAACGACAAAAATGCATCATACAGCACGAAATTCAGAAGATAAACTAAACATTTCGATGAAATAGCGTGGAAAAAAAGAACAGAGAAAACATTTTGGTTACAAGAGATCCATAATGAAAGATAATAAAGTATATCAAAGTTTAAAGATGATAGTCTACAGTATCATCATTTCTGCAATTCTCTGATATTTAATCCGGAAGTCTGAGTAGGAAAATAAAGCACATAAGAATGACCCAAAATTCAACGTCGTTCTCTACGATCGGATATATACATGATCAATGTCTAAACATTTTTAAGTGCTTAAAATGTATACTATAGAGTTCCTACAAAAAAAGAAAAAAGAACTCGAACCAAATTAACATTACAAAAATCAGTAATTTAAATGAAAACACAACACAGAGTGAACAGAAACGGTGCAGTGAAAACAAGACACCAATGATCGATTACATAAAGAATATTAAAACACCTGCCAAGTTTTTCAAGCATATACATTTTAAAAAAAAATTGAAAAAACTTGATAGTACTATTTACCATTTTTTAAAAAAGTAAAACATAAATGAATCAAGTCACACACACCAATAGAATAAACATAAAAACAGCCGAAATGTAAAAATAACAGCACGAAAATGTATCAGAATGACCTGAAACACTGCTTCTCCAGGGTATTTTCTCATCTCTATGAATACAATCAAAATCAGGAAAAAATAGTGATTAAAAATCATGCCAATAAAGCTAGTTGATGAAAAACTCCAATCATGCAATGAGAGTTAAAAGAAATATAACAATCTTAACGGGGCTTGAAAACGTAGATTGCCTCAAGAAAACGGAAAGAACTTTGAAACATTTGTAGAAAATCGAATGATCATGACTATTCACGTAAACGGCTTTAATCGCATAAGTTGGAAAGCAGGACATGATTCTCTAATATACTGACTGCTCTGCATAAACTTTCATAAATCTACATCTAGTGTGAGAAATAATTACATCATACGCAATTGGTAGTCACCATTTTGTGTAATGTAGCGTACCCACGGCAAAGCTTGATAACCACTTTTTTCAATAATTTTAAGATAACGTACCTGCAAAATGAATTAAAATTTACCGGTGAAGAAAACGAAAAATTCCAAAACAACATTGCTAAAGTTTCATAAGACTAAAGGAGAATCATAAATTCAAACCAAGACCGAAGAGAAAATGTGAAAAGGTCGAAAATTTTGACTAGGAACAAAAGTGAACATAGAGCGACTACACAGCATAGACCATGAAAAAAAAGAGCAAAATATCAATATATCCAGTAACTGAAAACAATTTTAAAAAACAAAATCCATCACAAAAAATACTGCTGCAGTAAACATGGCTATGCAAAATCGTTATCATGAAAAGAAATGTACCTGTATTCCAGAAGTTGTGAAATAAGGAATCTCAAATTTTACTTTCATCGGTGGACGACCTTCACGGTCTTCACATTGAACCGACGGTAAGTTGAAATGTGCTCGCATTAAGTATTCTTTCCCACCTGTGATTTCAGTTAATTAGATTGTTTCATTTATCCTGTGTCAAAAAGATAATGGTTCAAGTTCCAAATTCATTTGGACGCTAAGTCAGATTAATAAATGCTTTTTGCACTGCGATTATTCATCTATCCTGCCTCTAAGCTAAATCTGATCAAAATGCTAAGTGACAAATCAACTGAAGGGTCAAATTAAAAATATAGAGATTATGAACTGCCATAAATGATTATTCTCCTTGAAATATTTTGATGTCGGTGCTTCATTTGGTTTACATTTTTCACTGAGTTACAGATAAATATCCTTCGTTTTCTTGAAGTCGAAATATAGCTTAACAGAGATTTTGTAACTTCCTTGTTCTCTGTAAATGAAGTGTTGTTTAAAAAGCTTCATAACCTGGGAAACTTTTGATTGTCCAAACAAATGAATTTTGTTCTGGTGTGTACTTTACTGTTCCAATGGAGGTCTTGAATTTGGGTGAATCGGCATCACTTGGCACTGGGATAATAATCTCTACATTATTTGCTGTAGAGCGTCGTTTGAATTGTGATTTCGCCTAAAAAGAATTGATAAATCTTACAAACAGTATAAATTATCCTAGATGATAACTGTTTTAAATAAAAATAGTAAAAAAAACGAATTTTTTTGCAGAAAAGCTATATTTCACAACTCCTACAATATTTGAAGAATGTATATACACTATTTTTGACTGGAACTGAATTAAATAGACGATTAAAAACTTGCAACACGCCAAAAGTAATTACTTGATCATGGCTTTAAAATTCATTAGCGTTAGTTGAGAAAGATACCACAAACAAATTTTAAAAACTATGATAAACTGATTGCCTTAATCATATATTCGACTCTTGAATGAGTGTGTCTTTCAACGACTGCTTCCATCCAAATAAGTGGCTTAACAACAGTCATTAACCGATAACTCATCAATTCGAATTCTCCATCTGGTGGTATAAAACTGATTGTTCGGTCATTTTCAAAACGAGATAAGCGAACACACTGATGAAATTTCACATCTTCCAATTCTACTGATTTGTTCTTGCCCCCTGAAAAAAAGATTAACTTAACATATCAAATTAAAAATAAACTTTCTTCCAAATGCCAAAAGAAGTATTAATATTTATTCATACATTTTGGAGTATAAAAGATTGAAAGTCTCAGAACAAAGAAGTTCTCTTTCCAATAAAGAAAATAAAAGAAAAAACTTACTTCCGCTGCTTTCAAACAAAACTTTGTCATTAAGACCCAATCGTAGTTCCGGCATACCCGTCAAATAGACACGCATCTTAACCGAACCAACTATTTCGCTCTGTAGCACCACACCATTTGCATTTGCCTGTAACAGTACATCCGAAGTTAAACCAAAGAACTTTTGGAAACAAATATAAAAGAAAACTTCTAAGTCTGAAATAAATTCAAAATAATAGTTAAAAAACTATTATATTCATATATTCTGAAAAACTAAACACTGAAACTTCCGTAGTGATTTGTTCACCTCTAATTCTCCTGTATTTGTGCAAAGAAACATGATCTTGCTCACTGTTATCAACCACTATCGTTAAATTTTTCCAAAAATATTTTTTTTATTTGTGAAATTAACTGAAGCTAATAATTTGGACCTACCAGTAAATTTACAGATTCTATGACATCTAAAAACACTTCATTTTTGCGATATTTGAGACCTTCTGAGCGCCATGAAACGGCATTCGTGACAGCCATTGGTGGTCGAGGAGCAGTTTCCAATTTGTGCCCTTCTTGTGTAATGAATCTAAGCACGCATAATTACTCGGTACTGATGAGCAGTATCTTCAGGTTAAAAGATCCTTAAGGCCTTTACAGAAAAACAAGTATTGAACAAGAAAAAGAACTTACTCTTGCAAAATTTTTCCTTCAGTAGTTTGTGGATAGCCGAAATCCATCATTTCGTCGAGCAATTCATAGATAATTACAAAATTATCACGAATTGATTCTTCTTCAACATCTTTCAAATATTCCCCGAATACTTCCACTATCTTGTATAGAAATGCAAGCACCAACGCTACATTTACATTCTTACATGATGTTGAAACAACTGAAAGAATGAGAATATAAAATCGATAAAACTGTAGTGGGATGACCATGTAGTCATAACATATAAATTACGAGACATGAATTTAGAAATATTTAATAAATTATATATCAAAATATAAATTTATATCCAGAGCCAAGAAATGTTGTATGTCAAAATTTTAAACAATTGAAAACAGATCCTTTCTACATCAATAATCTTCTAAATTAATAATGAATTCACATTTACATCAACATTATTTAGCTTTAAACTAATACTACAGTGCAAAGTACAGCACCAACGTTCAAGAAATTTATGTAACGCTAGAAATTTCATGTTTCGATCGACTCGACACGAAATAATATAAATAGAATCAGAAGACTTGCAGTAAAGGTTTGAATGCTTGACGTATATGAACGTAGCTTCAGGAAGCTCGAGAGCTGGACTTTGTCGACCTTCTTCTTCTCGTTCCAACAACAGCGGCATAAACTTATCGATAACACCCATGTCTATATCGCCTCGATAGTTTCTTGATATTATAGCCTATTATTAATGATATTAAGAGAATCTGTTGTTGTAAATGTACATGTCACATTCCTAGGAAAGTACTACTTCTTCATCTGACTTATTAGCTCAACATGCAACAATATCTTCCCTACTACTTTTGATGATTATGCTAATCATGTGTAGCTTGCTCCCTATTACTTTTGACAATTATGCTAAACATGCTGCACCTTACTAGCGCTAGTCAGACTAATTATACCAAAACAATCTAACTTCCAAAATTTTCGGACGCAGTCGTATCTCGCATCTAAATGACTGCGTCCGAAAAATCCCGAAATTTAACATACCACTTACTTTGCCTTTAATATCGAGAATATAGATAGCAGAAGAAGACATCCTTTCCAGCTCTGAAAAGTTATCACCTGCACAACTCACCGAAACCCCCCCCCCCCCCATTAACGCATCTAAACTTGAAACCAGCCCACTTATGAATGCCCAGCAATTCATTTGACGTAAAAGATTTAACACAGTCCCTCATCGCTATGGTTTTGTCTCAAAATATTAATATAGTTGTACGGAAATGTTACTTATTGCCTTTCCTCTATCGTAATGCGACCTCCTTCATTGATCCAGACTTCTCTAATTCAATTTCTGACTTCAATTTCAATGAATTAAATTTGAGAACAGTACCATCTTTCTGAAATAGCAGATTTTACCTGTCCTCTTAAATTTAAAATGAAAAATTTTATTAAAAGGTTTTTAAAATTTTTAGGAAAATTTTACTAGTTTGCAAATTGTTGATTGATTCGAATCCTTTTTTTTATATACCTTTTTGATGTTTTTCGATTTTTAACTTCACCATTTTTTTTATTCTTTTGCTGAACTATGTAATTGCTAGTTTCTTGCTAGGTTAAATCATTTCTCAAAAATAGCAAATTTAGGGAAAGCCTTATGGGAATCGTAAGATTTTGGGTAGTTTTAAAAATTTCAAATTTCATATTGAATTTTGTTAGGAGGGAAAAATATAGAGGTATAGGATGGACCAATAAATATATATAATTTATTTGCAACTAAATCAATGACATCTGCAAAATATTTGAATTTTTTAGTCCTTTTACTATTTCTAATATTCACCGCATGAGATATCCAAAAAATGAACCCTCACTATCAAAGTTTCATACCTCATATGTCCTTAGATCGAAAATGTACATTTCCTCAACAATATTGCATTATGAAAATTTTAAATAGATTTGCTTCAGCATTTACTTTACCATATCATTTCAATATACAACATTACCTTGGCAATTTTTTGTATGCATCGAACTTCGATTATCGAAAGATGAAATGAATTCAGATTTTCAAGTTGGTGACCCAAGTTTCGAGAAAGTTGTCCAATCTCAAAAGAGATCTTGCAATAATAGCAAGTGACTGAGAGGAACTCTCTTGCTATTATCATTAAAAAATTCTAATTTTCGAAATTTTGAATAATTCCAAATTTTCCTTATTGAGTACGGAATTTATTAAAAGATCTTGAATATTTGGAAATCATTTATTGTTATCAACTCATTTTAACTGTTGTTAGCTCACTTTATTTATAGTGTAAGTTAAATAATCACAAGTTTGATAGCGTGGGTACTGAAACGCTTGGATCCCAACCCTTGGAAAATATGTTTCTGCACATCTGAGCGATTTCAATTCAAAAGATAAAGAAAATTGCACATGTAGACATTTTCAATAGCGTGAAAGATTTTATATGTGCATAATATGTTTTTCACATTGGAAGTATTTCAATTCGAGTGATATTTTTGTATGGTTTCACCTATTTTAAGATACAATGTAATACTACCGAACATGAAAGTTTTGGAGCAATGTTTTAGTTTCAGCAATTAAGTGAACAGTCTAAATGATGGTATTCTTGGAAGGGTAGCATTGCTATTTTTGAATTCACTGAACCGTTCAGAAAAGTTAATCTTATTATTGGTAATTTTTTATTTGCATCACTTCCAGAATACTTTTCCCTACAAATGTACCATTGTTATCTCTCATTCTTCTTCTTCGATAGCCAGAAAGTAAAGAAAACTGAACGTATTTTGGAATGGAAGGACTGTCTTGCTAAAATCTTACAGCTGTATGATACTTTTGATATAGTCGATGTCGCTTAGCAGAGCGGAATTCACAGTATTTATAATCCATATCAACATAAATTGCAATGAAAACAGTTGAATTTGTATGAAGATTGGATTATTGGAGAAATTTGTTCTATAATTCATTAGTTTCATCAGCAGAAGTAAATTTGACATTGAAACTATTAATGCAAAGTTAAATCATGGCAACATGAAAGTTTATCGCTTTCGAACTAATGTTGGCTAACTGTTTCCAAATGTATTATATACTTTGATAGCGCATGAAATTCTGTTTAGTCAAAAAAATTATCATGAAATAATTCATGAAAAAATTAAAGCGGTAAAATATTCCAATGCTTTTAGTTTTTCGTATGTTTCCATGCGGTTGTTTCATATTTTTATGATGACAGTTTTCACTGATGCTCATCATCAACTTGGAATTCGTATAACTGTAAGTTTTTTAAGAATGAATTATAGCCCCAAACAATCTGATCATGCAAGCAAAGCAATCTTTACATCTGAAAATACATGATCATGAATGTTTTGCAAGTATGAATAAAGAATATATCTAATCGCATCACCGCAAAATAATTTCCAAGAGGTTTAACAAGATATTTTGCAAAAAACATTTACAATAAGAATTATATTTGCAATTTTCTAATTCTTTTATATTTAGAATAGATACGACAAAGAAACAAAAATCCCTTAATTTCAACGACCTAACATTTAATAATTTTTAAACCTGATCGAAACTAATTAAAAATATCTAAGAATCTTTTTAATAATTGCAGGCATTGAATGGTAAAAAGATAGAGAAGTGTATATCAAAAGAAGCATATTTCCGCAGAGAGAATAACTATTTGATAATTTTGAGCCTAGGTGTTGAGTGCGATAAACAATTGATGGACATTGTTCAATATGCTAAAACGATCCCAGAAGAACTGGATGTACATGTCATCAATGCTGCTGAAGATTATGAGAAAGAAATACTTCGAATGGTAAGAAAAATGCTGTAAACTGAGAAGTTGGTGCAAAATTTGACTAGTATAATTGCAGCCTTATGAATTGTGTGAAGTAAGTATTGCTGACGATGTAAATGAAGAAACTGTGAAATGGCTTTTAATCGATTGTAATGAAAGTAATTATTTTTTAATCATATTAAATATGCATGGATATGTATGTTTTTGTTCCAAATGTACAAATGCACTTGCTTTCTTTGCTAATATTAGCTCTATCTGGCAATGCAATATAATAGTCTGCTAATTTTTAATAATACCACATGCACACACCGCCAATTTATGGTGGTCATCAATGCATTGCATTTTAGCAATCGTTTCAGTTAGAGGTTATGCCTAATGTTTGTTCTTTTTTAAAGTTGTAAACACTACTAAAAAATATCACATGAAAAATCACTCTGTGCAATGCAGCAAGTGATTTTTCTACAATTCATTTATTATATGATCTAATTAAAAATAAATCAAGTAGCTTCAAACCGAAACCGATAATTAGCGAAATTTCTTTAAAAAATTTTTAAAGCTTATAGAGATCTTGCAGCTAGCAGATATTTTTTATTCTTTATTTCATCATCTAATCCTACTACTACTACTACTACTACTATTACACAGGCAAAAAGAAGGATAGTACGAAATCAAGGATCAAATGGCTTATTATATCAATCGTTACAACGGTCACTGTTAGTATAATGGTCACAGTCGGATTATATTACTATCGTATAAAGGAAAAAAAGCGAATTAAGCAAAAACACGAAGAGCAAAAGCAACGACAACAGCAACTACAACTACAACAATACCGCCAGCAGATGTCTCAAAAAACATCATCCAAAAGACTGAATAAAATGACGGACTATAAAACTCCAGCAAGTGCACGAATCACTCATATAACAAATTCTTCTGATTCCAAATTAACCCAAAATGTTCGTCAAATTTGGTATTTAATATTCCAATTAATTAACTTGAAACTTCAAATCTAAAAGAACGAAACGTTTTCATATTACTCTCATTTTCTTGTCAACTCTTTAACAAATAGATAGGTGAGAAATAATTATTACATTTGTTTTACCCTTACAAGCAAAATAAGGTAACCGATGCAATTCTCAAAATCCATATAAATCACCAGTAACTATAAAACAAATTTGTTGACTAAACAAGCATCTAGTTAGTCAAAATCACTAGATTAAATTAGAAAATAGATTATATTTGTTTTTTGAAACAAAAAAAGTTTTGCAATATGAATAATGTTTAGGAGGAGAAAAAAGAGGCAAAGATAGAAATAAAGCAAAATGAATTAGAGGAAATTCATAAACGTATCAATCAACAAGCTGACAAAGAATTTCAACAAGAAAAAGAAGAATTGATAGCATTTTATAAAGTTTGTTAAATGAATTTACCCTGTAATGTATAACAAAGTCATGCAATATCATCATGAAATTATAAACTTACCACTGCTTTCTCTTTTCAATATTCCCTATTTTCTCAAACTTTCTACACATTTTTAAAGCTTTCAAAAGTTTAATAAAAATGCGAAATTTATCAATAAGAAATTACTTGAGAGAATTATCATCTATATATTCTTTGTATTGATTTCATGTGGTAACTGTCGACTATTTTTACAGCAAGTACGGCAGTATTTCCCTGAAAAAACGGAAAAAACACAACAACAATCCGAAGAGAAGCAGGCATCTGAAGAAATCGATTCGAACTCTTTAAATAGCAATATGAGCTGAAGACCAGTGGGATTGACCATCGGGCAGAAGTATTTAAATTATCATTATAATTGTGTTATAAATTATTTTACATGGTAGTTCCAAAAATAAATTTAAACTTTTGATTTTTTGCATTCGAAAAAGTGAATCATGCTGCCGTACGACAAAAGAGAACACCGAGCAGACGATCGATGAAAACGATCGTTGATGAAATTTAATTGCTTATAGAAAAGATATAATGATTTTACATAATCGATGGAAGTAGTCTGTCTTATGCAAACATCTAACATATACTTTTATATCAAATAAATTAGCTTTGAGAAATTCTTGAATTTAATTAAAAGACCCCTTTTTTTCTTTCTCACTTCTCTGCCGAATTTCCCTTGCATTTTCTCATTTTTCATCCTGTTGAATTGAATCATCGATAGCTAGTTAATGAAACAATACTAACAAATCTTTCTAACTTAACTGACTCACTTACTTAGAACACCGTTCTTTCTATCTCTTCCCACTATTTCATCATGCTCATTAGCCTAATCTATTTCTTAGCTTCTCTAAATTTTCTCATCAATAAAATCGATAATTCTATTTATTTAATAATTGAAAGTTATTCTTCAAATGTTGCAGCTTTTGTTGTTGAAATTTTCTAAATTAATCATTACGTTGTTCATGCCAGTCAACGTGAATGTGTCCTATATTTTGAAATATTTCAATGATTCAGTGCTGCAAGGTATATCGTCCCTTTCATTCTTGTTTTTCTCTCTGTGAGAATGAATGATAAGCATAAGAAGAAATTGTCCACTTAATTGGTATTTGCAATTAAATTTCCCTTGTAATAACACCATTAATACTCTTATTTTAAGGCCGAATTTTAAACTGAATAATTCAACAATTCGGAATTCTTCTCTTCACTTTCTTTCTCTTCATCTTCTCAATAATTATTGTTTTCATCATAAGATTTGTTCACTTGTTTGTGTTGTTTTTTTTTTAAGCAATTAGAAAGTAAGAGTATTAATAGTGTTATTTGCAACTCTGTCCCACTTATCATTTTATCTTTTAGAGAAGTGGAAAATCCATGCCATTTATATTGTTCATTTTATTTTCCAATTTATTATTGGTCGCATTTGGACAATTCAGTAATCGTAATAAACCTGACGGTTAGCATTTTTCACGTCTTCATTCTTTTCAATTCATTTCTATTTAAAACAATCTCAAATATTTTCATTTCTTATATTATTGTATCGAGCAATTAATGATTTGTTATAAAAGTTATTTTGCGCAAAACGATATTATTTTAGAAGCAATTTCTAATATTGAAATAGCCAATAGTTTATTATTTTCATATTACAGATTATGAGAAAAAATGGATGAAAAAATCGAATAAAAATATATTACCGACCGAAGTACTTCATCGATCAAAAGAGCTCGAATATATTAAATATATAATGGAGCAGAATGCGAAAAGTGAAGAATACAACATGTTACGCCGAGTGATACCTGTTATAATGCTGAGAAATTGGACTGAGCCATTAGTTTTGATTAACACTGATCCTGACGAGCAGGCCGTTTATTTCCCAATGACAGAATGGGAAAAGAGCGAAAATGGCAATCGGGAAAGTGAAGTAAATTTTGTCTTTCAAAATTTGAAAGATTTTGCATGTGGAAATATTTTCGAATATTTTCTAAACAAATTTCCGACTTTGCAGTTATTATTTGGGCTCATAATCATAATCGCAATTTTATGAAAAATTAGGCATGGATCCAGAAAAACTTGGGAAATTGTTTAATAGAATTAAAGTAAATCAGACTTCGAAATAAAGTTGATAATTAAAGTTGCTTATTAATTATAATTTTTAGGATTTAATCATTGCTCATTAATTACAATTTAGTCAATGTTCGAAAAGAGCGTTGTATCACCGGCTAACGAATTGATGAATCAATTATTGGAACATGCTGCTGCAACAAAAAATGATTTGCTAAATGATGATGGATTGAAAAAGGGCCTGGAATTGAATACTGGACTAGAACAACCGAATATAAACGGAACATTGGAAGAGCAGAATATAACGGAAGTTTATGAAGAACCATTTATTCAGATTCATGTGAAACCGCTCTGCAAAGGATCTAACTGTTAAAAACCACTAAATTCGAACCGTGTGTTGAAATCTGACCTACTGATTGAATTTTCTCGTACTTTGTTTTTCAATCAAGAAACTTGAAATGCTTTTTGATTTTTATGTTTTCAATTCTTAAGAGGAAATAAGGCTGCAGGGTAATTTGAGGCAGTCGTTACTGCTCGATTAATATTCTATGTTTCTTTAAAACAGTTCCCACAAAATAGAATCAATTTATTCTGCTTCCACCTGCTCAGTGATCAAATAAGTTATTGACTGCGCAATTGACATAAATTCGATAGGTCATAGTGGTGTGGCCAAAATAAAAACTTTCATCATATCCTGCATTTTACAGCTTTGATGAAGAAAAGATTTCATTTAATCAGGCATTTACTAGTATTAAATAATACCGCATATTATTGTCCATAAAGACGGAATAATAAGTTTTGTTGACTTCACCTGTGCTAAAAAATTTCAGCTTTACTGTGTTGCGTGTTCATAAATTTCAGCTTTATAGTGTTACATGTTCGGTCGTCATTTTTTCAAAAGTTGTATAAATGGAATTTGAATGATTTTCTTGCTGGCAAGAAGTAAAATAAAAATTTTATACAGATACTTGAGCTCGTGGTAAAAAAGTGGGAAAAGTAAAAATTAGGTAAAGTTAAAAGGAAAGTGAGCGACGAATTTAATTTGCAAATGCTCTACCAAAAGTGTCCATGGCAACCTATCACAACCAATGATACACTCCACTTTCACTGCACCCTCCACACTTTTCTCATTTCGCAGTAAACACTTGAATATAGCAAATTTCTTTTTCTCTTTTGCCAACTTTTTCAACATTTCATTGATTGTGCCCAATACAATAATTGAAAATGAATGTGTTTTAGTGGGAGATAATTAGGCTGATAATCCGTTGTTAATTAATATATCATCAAGAAATTTTCTGCATTAATTAATATATCATTCTTGTGTCTGTCGTTATTATTTTAACCAAGAAGTTTCTGCAAGAAAAAGGCAAAAACAAATGATAAAAGCTTAAAAATTGCACTGCTGGAGTGGAATAGCTCTTTAATTATTCGTGATGCTTGAAATAATCCCAGTAAATTCGCATTCTTCTTGAATTTTCTTTTATGATTTAGATTGCAAGATCAAAATTGAATTCTCCAACGTTTCAATGGAATGACGTGGTGCCCAACCTCTCTTTATCTCACTGCAAATTGAGAATTCTAAAATAAAAGATGTCGAAAAGTGTGGGTATGAAGAAGCATTTGTCAGATTGTAATGGATCGGGCGAAGCGTATGTTCTCTATTTAGTATATGAGACTCAATTAATATTTCATTTTGACAAATTATTAAAGAAAAATTTTAGGCTTAGCGCTTGAACTGAAAAAAATAGAGGTGATAAGTAATTATAGCGTTGAAGGTAGTCATGAGTTATTGATATATTTTCATGTGATGTAATTTTGGTTCAATTTAAGATATCTTTTTGCAATTCCGGAACTCCCGCGAGGTAAGCTCTTTCGATTCGTTCTGTGCAGTTCTTGGGATGACCCTCACTTCATTGGTCTTAATGCTATCGAGTTATTTAACGCGGTTGGTGAAAGACCGCTGATCGATAAAGTAAGGAACATTAAGTCATGATTTCTTCTTTAGAAAACAGTCCATTATTCTGGAGATGATGTAATTATCAATATCTAATCAGTATACTAATTACCAATATCTAATTCGTGTACTCAGATAGCAGCAATAATTAGATAAGTATAGATCGTTTGAACTGATGAATATTTAAAACAAATGCATTTTGAACGACTAATTCTTGTTATCACTACATTGACAATGAAATACAAAAATGAAGTTGCAGATGAAAACAAATGCAAATATAACGCGTGGATCTTTGGATAATGTATTCAAGAATGGAGAAGCAAACCCATCGACCAATGATCCACATAAAATGTGGTCTGCTAGGTTGTGTATACTTACATAAAGAAATACCATAGATTGAAATGCATAAATATTATTTTAGTTTAATCAGTTTCAGATACGACAATTTGACAGAATTACTTTATATTGAAATTCGCCTCAAAGAACAGGAAAATATTGCAATGATCCGAATTTGGGTATACTTTTTTGTAAATACAAATTAAACGAATTAATTAATCAGTTAGTAAGATAAAATTGAAGTGAATAATTAAAACAAATAAATTAAAATTGTGAATTGAAATGTTTTCAAATTAAAATCGTGAAAAAGAATGAAGAAAATTTTTGTAGAACTATAACGAATCACGTGTTCACGCACTGTGTGGTGTGCATGATCTTCGTATCGAATTGGATGGTGCAACGATATTTCAGGGCGAGATATCATGTGCATTTACTTTTGAAAGTGAACAAGAATTTATGGGTGATGTTAGTTATTTTTGAAATATTTCTTGATAGAAATATCTCTCACTTCCTCATCTTCAGTTGACAACAAAAGAGTTGTCGAAATTTCACTGCAAAATCTTGGTTATGTAACGATGCATGTGTAGGAATTGTCTAACTTCACCGATGAAGGAAGGAATGATTCATTTCATTCAAATATTTTTGAAGTTATACGGATGAGATGAAGTTATGATGGAATTGCAACGATTACATGATTTTATTCATGAAGTTAGAGAAAGAAACAGAGATAGAGATGATTTTCTATTTTTGTTAAAATAATTTAGACAATTCTATTTACAACAAATGATACTATATTGGAGCTAATTGCTGAAAATGATAAATGTTTGCAAAGAGATGAAATAATGCGAAGTGCTTTGGACCTTCATGAATTAGCCACCGACCTTGAAGGTTTTGTTTCAATACTTTTGGAACCAAAAGTAAATATGTATTCGACAAATCATTGATTTCTTTAAGTATAACAACAGGTATGTGATATTTGACCAAAAACTTTAGTTCCAAAAACCAAACCAATAGCATTAATATGGTTTGTTATGAAATATTTACTACAATATTGCAAATTATCATTGCGGTTGAATGAGATGAATTTGATTTGATTTAATTTTAAATGATGTCATCATTTTAGTTTTCGTTAGTTGCTCCTAAAAAATACTTGTTGAATTTGGGATATCTTAATATGTTTTATTTTTTAATTCCATTAGATAGTTGATAGTTATCTTAGTGAAAAAATAAAAATATTAAATGCAGAGGAATCATTTACAATTTCTGCTGCAATTGAAACGCTATCAAGAATAGGAACGACAAATGCACCGACTGCTCTTAGACCAGTTACTGGCGATCGAAAACCTCGAATTCGAAGTGTAGCACGATCCTGTGATCAAAAATCAACAAATACTGATGTTACTGAAGAAATTGTTCCAAAACTATCTATTTGTAGTTGTAGCACAGAAAGAGATAATCAAATAAAAAATGATGAGATGAAAGTTGAACAAGAAGATATTGATCTCCCTCTACTGAAAGGTACTGCAAATTTATCGAGAATTGAATAATAATGAAAATAATATTTAAAGTTTAAAATCTCGCTAGTAAATTATTGCTGAAATTAATTATACCTGCTATAAGATTAACATGTTTTATCAGAATTCTACAAATCAATAACAAAAGTAATGAATTTTATTGTAATAAAGCCAATATGTTATCGTGGAAAGTTGCCATGATGCATTATGTTAAAATGTTAGTCTTGTTGCATGATTTCGATATCTTCAAATATTATGTGCAATACTGCTCATTTTTTTGAATCTATAATAACTTTAAAATTCAAGTAAATTAATCAACAATCTATTGAATAATATATTTAAAATAATAAAACAATGAAAGAAGTAAATTTCCATATTTTCTAAAATTTTCCATATATGCTCTAAAATTTTCCATATATAAAATTTTCCATATAAATTTTTCATATAATTTTCCATATAGGAAATTTTCATATGTGCTAATGTTATGTACTTCATAAAACAGTTTTATTTCAATATTTTCAAGTCCATAAGTATTTTTTTAAGCTTTCACTTCAGAAATATCTTTTCAGTATTTCATATGGAACTTCTGGAGAACTGGGGTGCACCCGATTGTATTGGCTTAACGGGTTTACAATTTCTTGGTCCAAATGGTATCGTTTTGGATCATTTGGATTGTAGTATAACAACTTCTACTGCTGCACAAACTTCTTACAGGTTTTTGTCGTATTGTTATCAATGTTGACTAATATTTAATAAAACAAATATCGTGCTGAAGACAACTGTATATGATACTTCAAAAAAAAAAATATCCACAATTTCAACTACACGGAAAGTAAGAGTAATTGTAAGTAATACCCAACGGTATCAGTACCACTTACTTAATATTTCAAGTTTCCAAATAATAAATTATTTTAGCAAAAGTTAAAAACTCTTTCTTATCATTGCATAGAATTGAAAATTTCGCTGGATTTATCTATGCAAATCTATTTAAAACAATGATTATGAAGTACTCTATTTCTTCTGTTTGATCTGAATTCATTAATTATATCTGTGATAATCTGTTTGCAGTATTAAGTAATTCGTAAGTTAATAAAATGCAGAATTTAGATTATTGAATGGAAGGAATTTAACAAAAGATAGAGAAGACATGTGGCTTTCGTCGTATTCACATAATTCACCACCAATACGAGTTACAGTGACGTTTGTAGAACCTATTATCGCTTCAGGTACATTAATTCAAGTGTATGATTGCAGTCTTGTAAAAACAGGATGAGAATAAAACCCTTTCATACTTTCACACTTACACACATAGACAGATTACTGGACTATGATGTTTTATCAAACTTCAAATTTTGAATATGCAACTACCTTTTGAAATCTAAAAAACTTGTAAAATCATTAGAGGGATGTGTTATCAGCGTTTAATCTTCATCCGATTTTATTCCTTACATAGATTGAATATAAGTTCTTAATCTATTAGGTATCAGCGTTTGGAATTACAATGCTTCACCAGAGATGTCATATGCGGGAGTGCGTTGTATTCAAATGTATTTAAATGGCAAGCCTCTTCAAGGGCCTATACTTTTAAGGAAAGCTTCAGGTTTTTCATAATTTTATTCATCTTTTCTTTTTCTATGGCTCTATACTTTTTTGAACTTCTATCGATATATCGACTACTTTATTAAAAAGAATGAAATTTTTTTAAAAAAAAAATGAAAACTTCTAGAATACCCTTTCTATCTTTTCACTTTTCAAATTGTCGATGAACTTTATGCATTATGCTGCTTTAAGTTTAAATTGTTCTTAAGTCTTTAGGCACAAACTTCTGAAGATTTTTTTGTTCCAGTTGGAAGTTTCAGGATATATTCATTTCGATTACGTACAGGATATCATTTTCAACAAATGTATTCTTTATAAGCCTATATCCATCCCACAAACACAATCCATTAATGGATGTTAGTGACAGTATTTTAAAAATTTATCACTTTTTTACAATAATTACTATTCACGAAATTTTTGTTAATTTTTTCTAAATCGCTTATCAAGTAAAATTTTAAAGTTGAGTGGTATAACTTTGTATGTCATACATGAAATTGTCCACTTGCAGATTATGTTTTGCAGTTACATATCAATTGCGGTTGCATTGCAGTTGGGGTGATGAATATTACATTGGTCTTAACGGAATTGAATTTTACAACCATCGCGAGGAACTCATCAAACTTCTCCCTCAAAGTTTGCTTATACAATGATATAACAATGACTATTCGTATGGATATCTCTTTGATCTGACTTACATAATAATTCTACTAAACTCAATTATTAATTCTTCTACCAGTATGAAATTTTCATTCTAGTCATATTGGAATTGTTTGATGAGTTTGATGAGCTGTTAATATTACCAAACTTTATAAAAGTATAACGATTGGAAATATAATTTACAGATCTAGCAGCATTCCCAGAGAGCGTAAATATATTGCCGAATGTTAACGATGATCCACGAACAAGCGATAAGCTCATTGATGGTTTCAATGATACCGAAAAGTTTCTTTTTCCACTTATCTTTTTACCAAATTATATGACTCCATGGCAATTTTATAAAATGTATAATATTTAAATTTAAAAATGGGATATTAATTGGAGATCTTCTTAGGTACCATGCTTTGTAAAAGTTATAAAAGCAACTGTTTTACACCTTCATGAAGTTGCTACCTAACAAGTAAACTGTGTTGAGAGTTTCAGTCCATCGCATATGTGGTTGACACCAATCTTACCTAATCGCTGTGCAAGGGTATTTGTTGTATTCGACATTCCAACCTATGTATCATACATCAATGTATACAACTATCGGAAGACACCGGAACGTGGAGTGCGGCTTATCACTGTTCGTTTCATAGACAATGAATAATTTTAATAAAAAAAATTGTCATCCGATTCATTCCCTCAAAGCTCATGAGGTCAAGGAGAAAGTATAACATTTGATCACATTATATCATCTTTTGAGTCACAGGAAATCTACTTACGTATGTATGAGGTTTTCCTTAAATATGTTTTCAAATATGCTTATTGTAAACATATTTAAACATGTCTAAAAACATATTACTGAACATCAATCTTTCAAAAATTTAGACATTTTAATTCACATATGTTATATATTTCTATTTTTGAATATATCATTGTTTTATGTATTTCCACTTTATTATTAATAAAGTAATTCTTAAAATATACATAATAATGGTAGTAAATTTTACAGATATCGGTTGATGACTTGATCGTATTCAGTGGTGAAGTACCACAAAGTACACCATATGAGACTGGCGTATTATCAGTTTCGTTACGAGAAGAGTGACATATTTAATGTGTATTAAGATCCATATTCTTTTTTATTAATTATATATTTAATAAATATGTATTAATTTGTTTTATCAAATAAAACTCGAACGTGTCAAGATATCTCACATCGTATCATTACAATTGGAATAGCCGATATTCTTTTAATCGCTGACAAATAAAGACAAAAAATGACTGCCTTGTTTCAAATAAGACTTCATTTATTTCACTTGATTAAACAGTCCACAAACCATAAAAATCTGAGGAGTTCGAGTACGAGGAGCTATTAACTAGATAGTTCCAGAAGTATTCAAATCATTATCATCGAAATTTCCCGCTGCCCGTTGCAGCATACAACTGACTATATGAACCATTTGATATTTATCTTCACGAGGATCAGGACCACCTAATCTTATCCTATCATAAAATGAGCCTGGAACTAGTAGCGAGTATGTCGTGAAACATCTGATTCTTTTAGACTAGTTACTGTTTTGAAATGAACAAGAATTATTTTCAATTCAGAATTATATGGTACGACTAACAGTTCTCTAAAATCTTATATATGTCTTGAACCTAAAAATTTTGGTTTCCGTGTATCTCGAATAATGTTTTATTCAAGTATTTCCCCATTCTCCATACTCTAAATCAATGTCAAGATGGAAGGTGAAGTACTCCCCGAGTGATAGGATAACCAGAGAGATAACGTGGCTGACGGACAACCAGTTGGGTCATATCGTGAGAATTATTGGAAAGATGGAAAGGGTTGGGTCCGAGATGCGGAAAATTTCAATTTTTCTTTGTGGCAAAACAAATGCTAATTTGGGGCAGTGGTTGTCGGGACAGTTTTCTTGTTCGTCTCTCTCGTATCGTTCTTTTTCTCTCGCTTCATTACTTACTTGAATTATCTCCAAATAATCTCTCTTAGATAAAATGTATTTTTGGAAATGTTCCGAATGGAATTTAGCATAATTGGATTGAGTTCTAATTCTGTTTGAATTTGAGTTTTTTAGCACATTGAAATGAACGCACAGCACTTAATTTGCAGTAGCCACTCAAATTCTAGTGGTAAATTAAACAATACGTCTGAAGAAGGTGATATAAATAGCAATGCAGAAAAGGAACAACGGTGAAATTTTTTGAAATTCCATGAATGAAACAGAAACTCTTTGTGTTATATTTATAAAAAGATTCTTTTTAAGGTGTTCTTCTTTGTTCGAAGTAAAATATGTAAAGACGATAATATTTATGTAAGTATGACAATGACAATATAATAAACTAAACATTGTTTCGTTGTAGGAAAATTTCTCTTTGACCGGCATTATATTTAATTCAAAATTCATTTAAATTTAGCGTAGGTTGTTAAACAGAAGGACGATGCATTCATGGGTTATTCTTTGCAAATGATCTGAGGACTTTGCGAAATCATAAAGTAAAAAATGTACCAATAAAGAAGGATGATGTTAAAACAGATTTTCAGTCTAAGTGGTATTCAGTAATCTTAATGTTGCATCATGTTTCCTTATTCTAAGAAAGTTTAAAGATTTATTATTGTTGTCGAAAAAAGACGATTATTTGTAGGCATAAGAAAGGAGTGCGATTTGAAAACGTGAAGATCTATCTTTTTGAAAGAACGCAGGGATTTGATGTTATCCCATCGTCTGGTGGCATTGCACTTGGTTTGCTTTTAACGTTTGCATTATGTAATCTCTTTGCATTTCTGAAAATTATGTTTTTTTTGGTCTCTAAAATATTCATATGTATTATGTTTTGGAAAAATAGGCTTCATTGATTGTCTTTGAATGGAAGGTTAGTTCCATTCTCTTTAAATGCTTTAATTTTTCAAAGTTTTGATTGCAGGAATGCATATGAAACATTTTGATATAAATGAAGTTGCACTCTGTAGTAAAGTGACTGATGATGGCATAACTAAGGTTCGTGTTGCTTCTTCTTTTATTATTTTTTATCATCTATTTTCAGTCTTTTGAAAACATTCTTTAATTTTTGTAATATTCGGTATAGGGATTGTTTAAAGTATAGCAGCTTCTTTTTATCTATATACTAATCATCTGACATTATGTTTGCACGTTAGTAATTCATTAGTTCAGATTTGAATGTTTGAATCTTAAATTTTACTTGTTCTCATTTATTTCTTTAGTTGCAAAACGACAAATTGTCTGCAAAGGGTTTGGTTAAGCAAGTGTGCACAGCGTCAACTAGGCGTAAACAAAGGTATTGTAACGCGTTTGACAAAAACTCTGCAGTGACAAAACGACGGAGAAGTGTTGAACGGGGAGATGAAATTTTGTCAAAAACAAAAGCCACTACAAATGTAGATAGGAGAGAGTCAAGAATACCTGAAAGAACATCAACAAGTATGCCAGAAATTATGTTAGGGCAAGTTGACAACGTATGTTTTTGGCATTATAAAGAAGACAACTTTGTTTAATTGGGCACGATCCTGTCATGTTCCTTGTCTATGTGTAGATTTTTTGATTTTAGGTAAAAGAAAAAAACGAAGAAGAAAATATTTGCATAACGAACAAATACTTCCGCCCGCTCAATCGAAGAATTAGATTACTCAAATTAAGGAGGGCAGGTTTTAAAAAATTTGTGGTCAGCCTTTATTTCAAGTCTTTTATACTGTAGTGTCATGTATTTCATCGTGTTTCAGATGGTTAACATTGCAAATAAATAATATGATTCCATAAAATGAGGAAGATGTCTTCAGTGTTTTTTAGCTGTTTTAGCTGTTGTGTAAAACGTTTTTATTAATTTCTCTATATTTCTATTTCTTCAGTGTTTTTTAAACTAAGTCCATACTTTCTTCAAGGATGATGAATCAATCTGTGATGATATACGAAAAAGCCGAAAACACTGCGGTTGTTCATGTGGTATTCTACCATGTTCACCCAAAAATTGTGAATGTTCCAGAAATGGTATCGAATGCTTAGTAAGCGCCTTTGCTTTTCACTAAATTGTATCTCTCTAATATTGGTTTGTTAGTTTTTGGCACTGGATTAATTTAACCGAAATTCGGTAAGATTAATTTTAACCTTTACCCGATATCTTTGTGAAAACAGTGTACTACTCAGAATTGTCATTTTCTTTTATTCTATCACAAAATTTTGTATCAGATTAAATCAAAAAGAAACACAAATGATTAATTGGCACTGAACAATACTGTGAATACTGCTAACAGTTAACTGTCATCATGTATTTCAGGTCGATCGACCATCATTCCCGTGTACTTGCGCAACTACAAGTTGCAATAATCCCTTTGGCCGCCGCGAATTTGACGAAGTATTTGTTCATGCACATTTCCGCTCAATTCTTATGCGTGCACAAATAGTTCAGGATTGAAAGGTCCGTTCTTATTTCTCATGAACTTCTTATGTTCGGTTTTCTTTTCATACACCTTTATTGTTTTTGAGCTCAGCGATTTCTTTTCGGTGATGCATTTGCGTTTTGATGATGGATGATTGATGTTCAATAGATTCTTCTTTTTTGAAAGAATTTTAGAGGATTAGAAATGGTTGAAGAGCTATAATCGGCAAAGAAAATAAGAAAGAGAATTGCTTTCTAAAATTGGCATTTACTCATCATAATTCCATTACAGTTGATATTTCGAATAAATTCATCAAGTCAGTAGTAGTTATAATTGTGGATTGTTGGTTTAAAAAATTCTTTGATATTAATTACGCTGTTCTTTAAAATGGGTTGATTTAAAGATTTTTTTTACCAAAGTTTTCGTTAACATTATTTAATTTGAATTGTTCAAATTAAAATACGTGTTTTTCAATAAATTATTCTTGATGATTTAAAACATATGAGATAGCTTTCTGTCTCTTTTTGTCGTAATTAGATCAAACTAATAATGGTTTCGTTTTTAAAATTATGTTTTTGTTTATTTTTAAAATTTTTGCAAAGTACGTATTCAATTTTTGAAATATATGGAATGTCACTTTTTTTATTTTTGTCATAATTAGATTGAACTAGTAATATATAACCTTCAGAATAGTAATTCACATTGTTATTTCATTTGAATGCAAATTTTTGTTCTAAACATGGTAGGGAAGGAACATTCCCTAATAAGCATACGGGCCTTCTTACTGATGGAGAAAAATGCTAGTTGACTTTTGGTAGTACCACTGAACTGAAAACATGAATTTGATTTAGTAGTCGTTCAACACCCAACTATTTTTGCTATAAACGCTTTCCATAAGTGATAGTAATGAATTCGACACGGTTTAATCGAAATACCGACAGATGCTACAAATTGCATGTGGTGTTGAGTCATATCATATGTAACTCGTGAACTCACATAACCTTATGATAAAATTCAGTATACCTGGCATAAGAGCTACCTATGTACTCCAGTTAAAGAGTGAGATGGGTCGCGAAAGTTTTTTGATATTTGCACAAATAAACTGACAAAGATTTTAATGATTGATGGAGGATTCATTCTCCTTATATGTTATAAAATAATTAATAGAGGATATCACTAGTAGAGTGAACTGTTGACTGTGAGGAAAACTTGATGGGAATTTGATTGAGGTCGTAGTTTAGTAAAGAGGTATAGATATAATATTGATAATGGAATTGATAGTGCTCAAATGAATTCTGTTTGTAGTCTTTTTGAAACAAAAAATCATTTCACGATCAATCTAATAAATGAATACGGAATTTTTATAGTATTAATTTCTACAACGCAAAAATATTTTGAACTTCCAGACTTTGTTAACCAAATTTGCACCTATTTCAAATGAATGGGGATTTGTTCTTTTAACTGATGTTTGCAACTGCAAAACAAACATTATTTGCATAATGGTTTGTTTAATCATACTATCAAATCACTTGCAGTCCTAATCACTTTACCATAATGGGTTTTTTTGAAACACCTAGAAAACTGACCCCTATCTTTCATGAATATTGAGAAATTTCAAAATCCAAAAATTTTCAATTAAAACTTAGAAAAATTAAAAAACGTCATGACTTTAAACTTCCATTTTCTTTAAAAACATAGTGAAAGAATTATGGAACAATGTTTTAATTTATGACAATTTTTGAAACACCTGGTTGTGTCAGAATAGGTGTGAATTTAACAATATGATCGATATATAACTCGACAAATCGTGGAAAAAAACGATGCATGGCTAATTTGTGAGAAAATTTGTGAGAAAATTTACCTTTATAAAGATGTAATATAAACCTTTATAAAGATATTGAGTAGATGTCTGCTATTCGATAAAAAACAATCTGATAATAATGTTAGAGTCAAAGTTTGAAGAAAAAAAATATGAGTTAAAATTCATAAGTCTACATGAAACTGAATGTGAATCTATGCTTCAGATGATCCTTTGAGGATTCAAGATTCAATAGCGTTTTCTTAAAATTCAGAAGTGTGATAATGTATGTAAAAGGAAATTCCAATAGAGTTGTTTATAAAGTTTTGCTAGAAATGTTTTAGAAATGCAAAAAGTGAAGTATCACGTGTCAAAAAGTGAAGTATCACGGAATGTTTTAGAAATGCAAAGAGTGAAGAATATTCTGAAGAATATTGATTAATTCTAAATTTTGGTGACCATTAAACTTCGACAATAATATGACTTTAGAACTGGAGAATTGTTGAATTCACTTCAAACAGCAGGAACAGAATTTGCATTTGAAACCTGAAAATGCAGTACGATCGATATTGATTTGTTTATAAAATTGATTTGCTAAAAAAATTATTCTTGAAGAGTATTCTGAATTTTTGCAAATTTCAGAGTCTTTCAAGATTTCAGGAAATCTCGAAACTGTTTGTCCTATAATTGTTAATAAACAATTAGTTCATTCATTTGCTTAGAATATCATTCTTATCATAAATGACCTGATTTTTTCTAATGCTTAACATAAAATATAAGCTAAAGAAATTCTGTCCAAATCTATCTCATTATATATTGCAGTCCTATTTAAATTCATTTTCATTTTAGATATGAAGGCTTGAGTGATTTGAATAGGAATGGATGGACAAAATATGCTTGCAAGTTAACCCGTAACTTAGTTACCAAAATTAGTCTATTTAGCCAATTCTAATGAGAATACAATTCAGAACTTCGAGACATATTATAATATAATGAACAGGAATTATGCATAGTAGTTTGAGAGCTTAAAAAGCAATTAAAAATAAATATAAATGCCATTTCAAGGTATATTAAAAGACGAGGATGGTAATATGAGGTTTCTTTAACAACTTTCTTTAACAACTTGCACGACAATCAAATCCAGCCAGTCATTCCGAAAGCATTATAAGAGAATTGAGACTCAACCGATACAGATCGATAGGCAAAGCCTAGCAACAACAATAGCCCAGCCATTATTTAATCAACAAGTGAAGTGGCACGAAATAGCCTTTTTGGTCGACCATATAATATTGATTGTCGGTTTTTCAGTCGTAAGCAAAATGTTGGCACTAAGATGCAAGAAACTCTTACTTTTGTTAGTAATAATAGATATTTACCAAATAACGATAGCTAATAAAATCACTGAGCTACGAATGTACGGAGTTGAACCAACTATGGTAAGTAATATTAAATATTTTACAGTATCTAAATAATATTATGATATTATTGGCTTACCTATATTTTGCTCCTTTTTGTTTTGATATTAAACGATCATTCTTCAATTGTTTCAATTTTTCATGGCTTTTTTTCCAAATTTTTTTAAAATTCGAGGAATTTTTTAAATTATTTATTCTTCTCACACATTTTATTTGCTAAGACGTTTCTTAATTTAGATTTGCATTTTACCTGTCCATTTCATTTTTTGTATATAATATTTGCTTACAGATTGCTTGAAAATTTATTCAAAAGATTGTTTAGTTTAAATTCAAATTTTTCTTTAATGTTATAAAATTGCTAACGGAGAAAAAAGGCAAAATATAACAATTATTGCTTTCAGTAAACCTTTTACAATATTTGTATTATTCAAGTGAATTTGTTATTGTACAACTGAATCAGTGAGTAAGAAGATAGGACATATAGAAAGGCAATTAAAAACAATCATGCCGGATAGGAATGATTGAAAGAAGGTTTGAGAAACACTCCGATCAAAAGATGGTTTTTCTAAATGATTGATTTTGAGAACACTCCGATCAAAAGATGGATCAGATTGTGATCTTATTGAAATAAAAGCGATCAAATCAACGGACAAGAGCTTAAATAAACAATCAATTTATAAATCATTTCATTTTCTGAACCATTTAATTTAATTGTTTTTAGAGTGATTCTTACTTTTGTACAGTTGCTCCACTCGATTCTACTATGGAACATTATATTGGTCAGCTCACTTTCTATTTAACTTTATGGAATTTTAACTCTTAGCAGAAAAAATTGAGAATTGGAGATAATTTAACATGTTTTTATCAAAATGATTGATTCATCACATTGCTCACATTTAAAGTTTTATTTTCAGTTGGATACAAACCTAATGCAACAATGCAAAAGGCTCATCATATGCTCCTGTTTGGATGCAGTCAGCCAGGCAGTGATGAGGCCATTTGGTCAGTTTTTTTCTGACACTTTCTGACATATTCGGTCAGTCTTTTTCTGACATTAGTTACATATCTTTAAAGTATCATTCCTATATACTACTACAGTATTTAGCGTCTTACACGATCGATTTCGGTTTATGATGAACTATGGTAGTATTTCAGGGATTGTGGAGATATGACAACAGTTGGACCAAACTTTCAAAGAGCACCAATTTGTATTGATCAACCAAGAATATTGTATGGGTGGGGTAGAAACGCACCTGAATTATACCTTCCGGAAGGTATGAATGATAACTTAAACTGATCTATTTTCCTTACACAAAAAAAATGAATTATGTTCTGATCATAATTCGGCATGACTGTACACCGATATGGAAACTTATGTTACAGTACCCTAATTCAAGGAAGGACGAGAGGAAGTTAGTTAGATGATGAATGAAGTTTGACTACACGAATATTAATGATTCAGATATTATGTGAGTAACAGTTACATGGCAGTATCTAATAATATTAGTCGTTATAATATCTTGTTAATTTTGTTTGTGTTAATTAAAAAAGCTACAACAGGTTCTCACGAAGAATCGATGAAAGTTGAAAGTGTAATGTAATAGAGTTGAGATGATAGTGTTATCATTTCAATGCCTACATAAGACTTTTCGAATATTTTCTATGCAAAATATTTCTAAACTAGAAAATACAATAATAGCTTGTCGCTAGGACTTCAGGTTAGATTATTCGGACGGAATTTGGTCGCTTTTTGGACGTACGTTAGATATAAATGATTTCGGAATTTAGTAATTTTGAAGTTGGGTTGGCATTTACCTTTCTTGTAGACTTCAAAGCAAGAAATATTCTTCCCCAAAACTCAAAAAATATTTGGCATGGCATCTATGGAAGAATACGGTGACTTTTCTTTGATGATTGTTTGTGGCAAGTTTTTAAATGACAATAGAATATGATTAAAGTGAAGCAAAAAATGTATAATTTGCAGGTGTCGGATTCAAGGTTGGTGGAAACACAGATATTCAATATCTCGTACTGCAAGTACATTATATGGGAAAAGTCGGACCTGATTATTCTGGTGTGAGTATCGAATCGACAATTGAACCATTAGATAAACAAGCGTCCACCCTACTGATGGTCACCGGTGGCACATTACCTGCAAATAAAAGAGGTACCAGTATTAATAAGTCTTAATATCTCATATGTCACTTTTCGAACATAAAATAAAACGATGAAATACTATCAAATACCGAAAATATTTACCACAAATTTAAATTTGAGTTTGGTTTTTTTTTAAATTCATTTTATCGCGTAAATATTTATGTTGTGTTGCTCATGCAAATTTAGAAACATTCGAAACGGCATGTATTGTCAATGAGGACATTGAAATGCATCCTTTTGCCTTCCGTACACATACTCATCGTCATGGTGAAATGGTTAGTTTATTAATTAGTTAGCAAATTTTGCATGACACTGCTGCCTTCTTTTTTAATAATAATTCCAATGATGAAAGTTGACTTTTAACTTATCGTACTTTTTTTTTTAAATTATATCTTTACACTTTTGAATTCAAAATATTTCATAAACAAAGACTTGTTTATCGATGCATTTTACTTTTCTTTTTTAAAATGGAAGTGACAGGTTAGTGGATGGGTGGTACGACAAAATGAGTATGGTCAGGATAACTGGGAGTTAATTGGCGAACGGAATCCGCTCTTACCACAAATGTTTGAACGAGTTAACAAGAACATTACAATTCGGCAAGGCGATGTGGTTGGTTTTTTGAAACTTTTTTAATAGCTCTATTGTGGGTGTCAAAGTGTTATTGCTCTTATTATTAATTTTGGGGGAAAATAACTCAATTTTAATTTCAATTAGTCAACAAATTAATGAAAAGTATAATGAATAGGGATGGTGGAACAGAGAAAAAGATTACGAGGATGGAGTGAAATTTTCTTATTCACTAGCAAAAATATGAAAATGGACATAAAATCGTGGCATGAAGCTGGATCAGATTGAGATTTCCTCTCTTGTGATGAAATTCCTCCCTTGTGATCAAAATTACAGCTCGTTGATATAAATAATCAGAGTTTTTTTTAGATAGCAGCTCGTTGTGTACTGAACAACAAGGAAGATCGGGAAATTACAGTGGGAAATACAGCTGATGATGAGATGTGCAATTATTATCTCATGTATTGGGTTCTGGGAGATCGTATTCTCAGGTAGGAAGTTTTTCCATTTTATATTCATATTTGCAATGGTCATTTTCGTTACATTCCAAATCATTATTCATATTTTGAGCCTTATTCTAACACTGATTTTACCAATGTCCGGTAGATTAAACACATAAGATCTCATTTTACACCATAAATGGAGCAAGCATCGCAATGAAGGTACAGAAAATGTAATTGGGTCACTTTAATAGGCAAGGATAGTCAGATGATTTGTCATATTTACCATCTGAGGCGTCCCTTTCGTTTTAATATGTCATTTGAATATAGAAAAAATATTTCAGGGACAACACATGCTATTCACCTGGCCCACCAGAATATTATTGGAGCAGCGAAGCAGAGTTAAACAATATCCCAAAAATATGAGAGAAAGAAATATAATCAAAATTGATTAAATGCGAAAAAACTTAATGTTTTCCTTTTCGCTCATTTTGCCTACCATCCGAAACGAAGAATTTACATCAGTGTCATCATTGTCTCCACTATATTCGTTAAATAAAAATGCTTCATGAAAATCTTCTTACCTTCAACAATTTATATCTTCTTTTCAATAAGTTATATAGTATGAATGTGAGAATTTTTCACACTTTCGGGACGGTAGATTGGTTTTTTTTCCTTTCATCAATGTGTCCATTAGGAAAACCTATTAATATTAATTAAAAGAACACAAGATGACCAACGTAAAGTTTTATGCTTTAACATTATAATGATACATTCATTGTTGTTACTCATTAAGCTCTTTGATAAGATAGCATCAAAATTAAATTTTATGCAGATCTTCAAATAAAACTTTCCGATCAAATGATATCGAATTAAAAATGGAAACAATAAGAAAGCCAACTGTTTCGTAAACCGATAATATTTTAACAAAAAAATAGAAATAGCTCACAGGGAGAAAATAATATTAGCTGAGAGCTTGTGGAAAGAAAGGATCAAAATAACTTACTCAACGCAACGAAAAGTTGACATGACTATCTCAACAATATTTTCAGAACAGAATAGAAATTCTATTTGCTTCTGCAGAAGCAGTGACTGCCCACAAAAGAGTAAATGTTATTCTAAATTTAAATGATAAAAACCAAATCTATAAAAATATTTTTATTAAAATTTTTACAGTTCAAGTACCAAATTGATGAAGCGATAAAAAACCAGGTCACACAAACAATAAAAGACATGATTAAACAACTTTTTTACACAACAACTTTAAATTCTGAACTTGGAGAAAATGTCCAAATGTACAAGCATAATAAAATAAAAATGATAACTTGAGTGCAAGCACTACTGAACTCATGTGATATGTTGCGAATGTAAAACCTCAAAAACACATCAAACTTATCTGATTAGCAAGAAATAGAAATAGAAATAATTGTTGTCGTTCGACTTCAGAAGTCTACAAGTGCGTTAGAACACATTTTAATTTGTCTGATATTTTTACGTACATACGTCTTATTCCAATGTATGAAATACTGACACAAGCGAATTTGTTAAAAAGGTATTTATTCGGTCATTTACAAGAACTTTGAATTAATCAATTATGCTTTAGCAATTAGCTTCTCACTGCAGGATAATTTTTCGATCCTATATTGCATACTATACCATCACACTTCAAAATAATTTGCTATTCATGAAACACGGGACGTAACTAGAGTTAAAATGGGAAATAATGTTAACATATCAATCCATTTACTGATGATATAAAACTGACTACGTAAATACAATGTTATATAAAATACATGTTCGGAGTATCTGGATTAAGCGCAAAACTTTGTTCAAGAATACGGATATTAGGTTCATTTCTTAATGCTTCATCCATTCGTCTGGAATGCCGGAATAATTAAAACTGAAGTGGTATTTTCAATCCACAGCGTAAATTTGACAGATTAATAAAGGTGATGATTGTTAAGATCTTTTTCTGAACAAAAACAAAAAGACGCTATCCGACATATTATATTTAAAATTAACATGTTTAAAATGTTTTCACTTGCTTTTTTCCAATATAAAATGGAACAGCTACCATTGTTATCAAGTAGACACTAATATTAGTTACATTTTTTGGTTTGATTTATAGTCGCTGCAACATTTAAAATTTTAATTGACCATTGCACAGAGGCAACTGCACACTAGATAAAAAAGTATATATCTTTCTCGAGGAAATACTGCAACAATTCTGGACATCAAAACATTAAAAAAAATTTTTTGAATTGCGAACTTACGTATATTTTAAAAGACGCTTCGCTCGATCGCAAGCTAAATGGGCATAATAAACAGGTGCTGGTATTGAAACCGACTTATTGCATCGTGCATATACATGGCATAAAGCATAAATCATTTGCTGAAGAGTACAGAAAAACAAAACCATGCTGACAGATGAGTATAGCACTAATTACAAATTTTTTTCTAATTACAAGTTCGAGCATAATAAAAAGGTGTTGGTATGTGCAGCAAATTTTTCTTTTTTTCTAAATCGAAACTTTAGAAATCTTTTCATAAGGATAAAATATGCAAATAATAAAGATGCAGTTAGCATCCAAATGTAATCAGTAAAGTACTAACTTGCCAATCATCTGCAGATAAATTCCATGAATCATAGAGAACGATGTAGTGAGATGGCCTTGATGTTCCCTAAAATGACCATTCTTGAATTCTAACAAGATTCAGACAGTTTATTCACTGGCACCATTTTCTTAAGCTATACAACTTATTAAATGAAGTATTATTCAGAATAAATGATGCTTATTACAATAAGCGCAAAACAATAAATTCTTAAAAACGGAAAGTCTAAGTATTGTCGTAATTAAAATATTCAGCAAGTTTGTAGTGGCAATAACGAAGATCGAAGTAATGCACTCGAATACTTCGAACCTTTCGGCACGCAAATTACAGTAGAAGCAAATATAAACGTAAATGAAGAAGGGATCTGAAACATACAACAGCACCACGATGTGAGCAAAGATAGAAGTCAAATCGCAATGGACTTGTTATCGTGCTATCAACGACCGTTCCTGGTGGTATATTTCCTTTGTCTCTAAAATGTAGATAAGAGGTGGTACCACGTAAATTTGCTAAGAAAGCCATTTTCTGACAAAAATTTCAGATTCGAAAAACGCTAAGTTTAAGTTTATAAATGCACCGTTATGGGAGACATTCTTTTCCACTACTTTTACAAAAGAACAATGAAAGTACAGCAAAATGATTTCTTAGCTTTAAATAGAAGATTTTGGTGTGAGCATATGAAAATGGTCCTAAACAATCAGTCCACACTTTCAATAAATAAAACTACAGTTTAGGATCTGGATTTGCCTTGGGATTAATCATCAAATACGTCATGAATTCTCTTTGCATCTCTCACTAACAGAAAATATTTCGCACCTTTTCATATCTTGTTCAATGAAACGAGTGTGATGCCTTTTTTGCACTACAACATAAGAAACTGTTGGATGGTATAGCTGATCTAGCTGATGTATAGCTGTTTTCAAACACAATAATTCATCGTTCATGACGTCTAAGAATTGAGAGTCCGCGACACCATCACTAAACTACGGAAAAATTGATGTTGCCTTAAGTAAAACTATGGATATTACACTTCGAAAAAAAAAGAATGGCAGTGTATGAACACTTGGACCATAAATTAAACATCAGAAAAGAAAAATAAAATCACATGAAATTACGGGAAAAGTTAAAGACTATGAAAATATTATGTTATTATATCTTTCTGTTTTAATGTGTTCGTACCAAAATAAGTCAAAATTTTCCAACAGCTTACCGAAATAGTACTATATGTTCCGGTTTACAACCTGCTTGAGCGCCAAAGTCCATAATACGTGTTCGGAATGCATCCACCGTGTATGTTACCACTTCCATTTTTGGTTGTTGAATTTTTAAAGATGCTGCATACCTAAAAAAATAATTCTGAAGAAAAAAATAAATAAATAAAGTAATTACAGGACCAAAAAGCATTTATTTACCTTTATTTTAAAACGCTGACAAACGAATTACTGTCACACGAAAATTTATTTAATCTTCTGAAAAAATAACACAGTCATGATTTGCTTAAATAAATACCAAACCTCGTTGCATTAATATTTAATGATCCAATAATGGCAGCAATTGACGGGGCCGAAGAATCACCTGAAGGTGGATGCGTGACATCAATACCCATAAACAGCGTTGGAGCTTTTCTATCAGTAAATTTTTTCCAGCTGAAAAATATCTTGTATAATTTTTAAAAATCTTTCTTACTCATGAAAAATAAAGTTAACTGCTATATTTCTCCAATATTGAGTTGGTACAACTTCTTTAAGCTGCTACCAATCTTTGTTCATAATAACTATCTCATACGAATTGAAAGCACCCCTACAAACCACACCGGTGTTTGAGAAGGTCAAGTAGTATGCACTCCTTATATTCAACCTTCACAACTAAATATTCAAAATACGGAATAACGAAATTACTAATTCTGGCTTCTCGCCACTTCGTTGTTAATGCCATCCAATTTGACGTTTATTTTCAAACAAATATTGTGAGACACAGCATTATGCTCTGGATTTCCACGCATTTTGAGAAATGTTTCGGCAAGAATTACTTGACACGCTACACCCTCCTCTTTATCACATATCACTTTTATTCGTCCTGCAAAGAGATTAAGTATTGCACGAATATCAAAATGCGTTATTACCATATATTTTTATCAAAAATTTCAACATACCATACGTGTCATCGTTCTTCACCGGAGTAATGAAGATCATCAGTGGCTTTACCGTTTTTTTTCCTATTTCCTTACACACTTTTTTAAAACTGCGCACATAAACGTCAGGTTCTTCTCTGCGTGTATCCCAATTATATATCTCAACAGTGTTTGCTCCAAAATTTTCCTTCGCAAATTTCATACCAAAGAGTTTGCAGGCATCAATTAAAGTATTAAATGGTTCCCTGCAATTTCAAATAGTCCTGAAGGTCCCTTAACAATTATTTATTTACTGAATAAACAATCTAGTTCTGAATGGAAATAAAATAAATACCGAAAATTTTGAATGTTAATTGCTTGATCAACGAATACAACAGCGAAATAAACATCACTAGAGGTTTGAAAGAAACCATCTCTTAAATGCCAAAAACCATTCGTAGCTGGCAATTCAATTGTCTGCAATTTTCCGCCAAACACCTTATAAGAATACACAAGTCTTTATAGCTTAGGAACCACATTGTTCCGATTAATCTTGATAAAATACGTTTTCTCGCAATCAAATTTGTATCATTCGAACAGAGGAAGAGTCCTCACATAAATGTGAGCTATCAATAACAAAGAAAAGGAAGCAATCAGAAAAATCGTAAACACATATGATGTATTCCATTATCAAGAATAAGCAAGGGTAAAATGTAAACTCAAAGCAATACCTTAAATTTGATCGCAGGTGACGGCAAAACTCGTCCAAAGATTCCAATTGATTCCGGGACTCCACCATTGACTAATGGAAAATTTATTCCAAACTGCTCAATGAACTCATCATCGGTTGATATCCTCATTCCCTTTAGAAACCAATCAATTTTTTTAAATCTCTCCAAAGGACTCAGTGCCGTACCCTTAAACAATAAAAGAATGCAAGAATATGCAATGTACGATTATGATTTCTAATAAAACTACGTAGTAAATTTTATTCAATGGAAAATTACTAAATAAAAATAGCAGCTATAAAATCTTTTGAACCGACTTTTTATCACACTGTAATTTCTACTATAGTGAGGGAAAATTTTCTTTTTACAGTGAGGAAACATTTCTTAAATTGATGAAGCACAACTGCATCGCAAAATATTCACTACTATCCACTAAACATTCTCTCCTCCAACCAGGACTACTTGCATTATCACAATGCTTTGGTTAGTTCATATATCAACAGACCTTGCTAATCATATTTTCTAAACTAGTTGATTACTTTCATACATAATATATTTAAGAAAAAAAGATATTTAAGAAAAAAAGGCGTCCAGAATTGCCAGTATTACTATTCACTTACTCTGATCAGTTTCGCAATCTGAAAAGGAGTCAGACGTTTTTTCACCCGCTGCACTTTGTCAGATAGCCGTAAAAGCTCCATCGGAAAGTAATCCTTCCTTGTTAAGGTGCCACAGTGTAATACCGGAAGGTTCGGGAATTTCAAGTGTATATCTAAATTGCGAGATCTGAGACAACTGATAAAAAGATAAACAAGAGAAAAATAATTGCTACGATGGAGAATGTTTAATTAAGTAAACAATTAAGTAAATATATAATAACTTCAGAAATACAAGTTAAAACTTGTTCTACTTACACACAAAGTTTTAAAAATCCAGAAAACTACTTTTATAGCGATTGAAATACTCCTCGATAGTCAATTCCTCAATAGAATCATCGTTCCGTTTTATTTGAAATCTAAAACTCAATGCAATAAATCATGGAAGTATAGAAGGATGGAAGAATGGAAGGCAAATTCAGGTAAAACCTTTGTATTCGTGCAGGTTGTCCAACATCAATAAATTTGACATGTCTGTTATCATACGTCAATTTCAGTGTTAGACCTAAAAATTTCTTGCTCTGGCAACTTTTAAAGACATCATTTTAAATAAAACAACTGGAATTAAAGTATTTAGCAAAAATTAATATGGTGTAGTCTTGACATCCATCCTTCACGGACTAAGTGCAGCACCAGGATAACTTTTCAGTGAATTTTTTGAAAAAGCTATTAATACGAATCAAACTCTTATCTATATTACAGAGAAAAATGGGCTATAATATGAGTGGCAATGCGGTTTGGAGCATGTTCGTTCACAACAAATAATAAAAATTCTGTAGCACATAAAATCTCATATATAGATCCTCTGTGGACAAGTATAACCATACTGACATACATGATGCCTTCTGAATTTTTGTTAGAAGAAATATTTACAGCGTAAAAGCAAATGAATGCCCAAATGAACTCAAATTTCACCTTTCATTGCATCCTTCAATTGCTGTCTTTGATTAACAGACAATGCAAACGTTTCTCTTGTTATACTATCGATATCATACGGCCTTCTTCGACCCACAAATTCATTTAAGACTGCCAAATAGAAATCAATTAACCACATGTCGACTTTATAAAATACTTTTGTAGATACTGCAATGATTGGTACATAATTATTAGATGCATAATGTTAAATTTAGTAGGAATCTGATAAAAATGATGCTGAAGTTCTGACTACAAAAAAAAATCATTTGATTTACTTCATAAAATACCAAACACAGCAGTTCAATTGAACAAATATTTAAAAAATAATTATCCAGCTAAACCTCTTCTGCATGCTCACTAATTTATCTAAACATCAGAAACTACTGACCGTCTACATTTAGCATGAGTCCTTTTTCACAGCGTTTTACAGCGCTATATAGTCCAGTCCAGGCTTCCATTCCAGGACCCATATCTAGAATGCCACTGGGGACGCTTTCACATGGTTTCATATACATATATTGATCAAATGCATAAAAACTCGAAGCCATACTCCTAAATTTGCATAAATCTTAAACAATGAGGGAATTATAGTTTCTACTGCAAAATAAGTTGCATACAAAAATGCTTCAGTTGCAGTGAAAACATAATAGAATTTCAAAAGTGCCACGTTTCAGAGAGCTTTATTATCACTGGATCCTTGTGTCTATGTAAATATAAAGAATACAGCTGTACTTACATATAAGGGCAGCGCACTCGTTGAGTGACCAAACAATCTAAAAACTGCATACTTAACCGGAAATTTGGTAACTGCTCATCGGTACTGACCGTAAAGTAATTAGTGATTGATATATGAACCAAGAAGGATACATTAGGCGGCTGAAACGTAACCAAATTTAAAACAATGAATATTAAAAGAAATGAAAAAGGAACTTTGGACTAATACATGGATCAACAAAACACCTGAATGCAATTGTATCAAGCTTTGCAGGAAGGACATAAAATCAGAAAACGAACGTCGTCACCTTCTACTTCAAATGCTCAAAGTTACAGAAAGTTTGGCGATTTCCAGACTTTTAAAAAATCAGAGAGTGCACACTTTCAAACCAGGTTTTGTTTCAATGAATAATTGAAGTTCCAACGTTGACTTCCCAATCTTTAACTTGTTAAGAGAATAGAGTGTATGGCAGTCATCATATACTAGAGAATATCCTGTGCCAAATATTTCTTCATTATTCGAAATGATTTTCCAAAATATTTCGCGACAGATATCTCTGAAAAAAACTTCGTGTTCTGTAACATTGCAAGCTTTTTTGTTTGGTAAGGATCAGAGTAAGAAAATATGAAATTTGAAAAAGACATCTTCCAGCAATGACGCAAGTTATAATTCTACACTCTACCTACTGCTTTTTTTTCAAAGGATTAAAAAAAGTCAATTCATAAAGAAAGCAAAGATTACTAGCGTCCATTTCACAGAAATATTTTTAGATTTTCGAATGAAGAGGAAATTTAGACGGCGCGTTTTTTAGCAAAAGTGAATATAAAGTATTGGTTGAAGCAATCTTTTCAATGAAGTATAATGCTGCAATGTAAACCAAAAAAATATGACATAATGAACAATTCCAATAAGTGAAAATCAAATTTTTTATAAAATTAACTTAAAACCTGTTTTCCACTACAATTCTGTCCTTCTTCGTAATTTTCAGAACATCCACATGATAGCAATAAATTTGTAAAGAAGCAGGTATTTTCAAGAGCTTGAAATTGACCATTAACTTAATACGTTCACCCAATTCCCCATGGTTTGGTCTACACACCAATTTTCCGATTCTTTCATGCTAAATTTTCGCTATCTTTAAATTTTAATTTTCAATTCATAAATCAGCCACCATTTCTCTCATTTATTACTTTATATGCATATATATGATGGAAAAAAAGCTTTCACTTTAAATTTATCTACACCTCACTAGAAAATAAAATCAAGAGATACCTTTTTATCATCTTGCTGTTCAACTCTAGAGAATTCGCTGCTAGAAGTACCAAGCCTCAACTGTCTACCGCTTCCATGTCCTTTTCCTACTGAAAAAAACCGTTAAATCTGTAGCAAATTATGCAAATGTACTCACTAACACAAATAAATAAAAGAAAAATAAATTACATGGATGTTCCTAAATGTGAAATATTTACTACATTTAGATCAGGTGATCGTAAGCAAAAATTCAGTAGATTATCCGGAAGCGCTTATTTTTACAGTGAATACTTATTTTAAGCTTACTACCCGTTGATTATTAATACTGGTAATAATGAACTGATAAACCCCATAATCTGACTAACATAAATAATCATCCATGCAGTAAAATCGTAATTTTAAAAAAGGATATAAAAGAGATGCAAACCTGTGGAACTAGCTTCGCTTTCAAGTGAAATCTCCTTCGTCCTTCCTCTTCCTCTTCCTCTCATAGTGATGTTTTCTTTCATTGAAATCAAATAACATTAGACGATAAAAGTATACGTAGTTGTTGAAATATTTCAACTTCATTCCCTTAGCAGAAAGTCACAATGACCGCATGCCGCCCTCGACAATCCCACTAATCATTATCTTACTTTACTGACAGTACTTTTCCTGAATTAGTATAATGCACCAAAGTCAAATCTCAGATTCAGATTCTCTTCCTCCAGCCCGGCCATTCTCGCTCTATTACCTCCACTCGCTTAAGTCAGCAACGAATAGAAGAAACCTGAACGATATTTATTGCGATTCCAATTACACTGCTCGTATTGTCTGTCCTCTTCCCATTCCGTTTTCTCTCTCTCTCTCTCTCTCTCTCTCTCTTTCTACTCTCGCCATTCTTATTCATCCCATTGCAACACATCAACAGCATATGACGATGATACATTCATTTGGAGGTACTGGTAATGTCAAAGGTCAGCGTAATAAACTGCGATGCTTTTATTCTTGACATCTCTTCGGTCACTTATTCACAAGCTTACTTTCCCGACACTAGTTCTAGTGTCAACAATCAAATTTGAAGAGGATGATTAGGAACCTATCATCAATGAGCGATATCAGACTTACGAGCAGAAGTATTCAACCTGAAACGACTAATTAGGTCACCTCCATTTGCTTGGTTTAGAGTCATCTCCTGCGATATTATTCCCTTAAAGTCGACCATCCCAAACAGCAGTCGTCAACCTTTTTACTGTTTAGATATAAAAGAACATTTTCAGATGGGTGCATGAATCCCAGAAATAAAGGTCAAGGATCATATTAGGTCAAGTGCTCTTTTCCTTTCTTACCATCAAATAATAAGATTTATAAGATCTCTCATTTCATTGCTCTCAATTTATTGTCTTTGAATAGCCGAAGTCACTTCACACTGAATACTATTACTATCTGTAGAGGAAGGAAATTTTGAGTTTTTAATAATAATCAATCGTCTTAACAATAATTCCGTTACCTTCTCGTTTGTGCTAATTTTATTGATATTGACAGAGACGAATAGTTGTGACAAAAGTTTTATTAGTTAAAGGATTATTTGTTTTGTTTGGAAGATAAGAGGAATAGAGACACATTCCACTAACTAATGTTAAATTATTATTAAGCATTTTACAATCATATAACATTAATTACATTTTTTGGTAAATTGAAAATGTAATGATCAAAAGATTCAATGCTTAACCTTCAATAATTATTTAACAAGCAAAGTATATTATTTATTATCCCTTAAAAACAAACTGAGCAAGCGGTAAATGATTTTTATAGTATAACTTATTAAAAAACAGTCATTGCTGATACCGATTTCTACGATACAAAAATACTTAATACGGAGTTATTATGAACTGTTTTGGTTCTCTTACAGATGCTGTTGTAGAGGCTTTTTATTATTGTTGTTATTGCGATTGACACAGACGAATATCTGCGATAAAGGTTTTGTTGATTGACGGGTATAACTTATTCTCCTTGTATTTTATTTGATAATTATTAGAGAATATCACGATTAAAGTCGGTTACTATAGATGGCAGCATTACTGACAGCCAGTAGGTCTTCTCGCACAGTGGTCTTCTCGCAATATGATCGAAGTAATAATGGTAGCAATGATGGAAGTAATCTAGAAATGGAAAGTAAATCGAAGCGCACTATTTATAGTCTTTATGGACAGAAAGAGAGCAAAGCATATTATTTGTATTCGTTCGGAAACAAAAAGAATTATGTGAATAACAAAGAATCTGTTTAACATTTTACGACAATCTAAAACAATCTTTAAGACAAATTTCTGCGATACAAAATTACTTTGATTATTTCGACAGATTTATATTATAAAAATTGTTTTCCAACAGCTGCGCGTTCAGTTCCATTCAAAATTTGTTAGGGATTTTAAACATTTTAATTAACGAAGATTTTGAAGTATAACTCACTTTGACAATAACAAGCATGACCGAAGTGTAAAGAACGCTTAAATAGAATGAATGCATTTCATGAAATCATTTCATTTGGTTATGGGAATGGAATGTCTAATCAAACATTCCCATTCGACATTCAATTTCGATCACTGTAAGAAAGTAACAATAGAATTATTATCTTCTTAATAAAATGTATCATTTGAAGTGCGATATGGTATCTTTCGTGATAAGTGTTTCAATACACCGAACTCTTCACAGGAATAGAAATTCGGCAGAAATGATAACAATTATAATAAGATACAAAATACACAGAATCGAGTAATTTCAGAAATTTTGTCTCCTTAGCATATTTTTTCTACAAATATATTCGTCTGGCATATCTTTTCAGAAGGGATTAAGAATCTATGAAAATATTCGTAACAATACAATGTAAAACAATACATGTATTATAAGCATTAACACATTGTAAATTAATTCACTAATGAAATTTAATTGATGTGTATGATCAATCTAAATTATAAATTTCGCAATTTTTAAACTAACGCTGTCATTGTGCAATTGTTTGAAGTTATTAGTATTATTTAATCAGTCATTTATCTATTGCTTACACAAATTTCCTATCACTTCCATAGTTTTCGACCACTTTTTATAATGAAATGATCTGTTAAAAACTAATTTATGAAATTCAACTTTACCGAATGTAATCAATCTTTTAATAGATTTTCGTGAAGATTTTGATTGAAAAAGCAGCTTCAGAGTATTGATAAATATTCATCATATCAGTTTTCACAAACAAAAGTGATGCGCATACAATTGCATTGAAATCAAAATTTAATATTGAACCAAAGAATTTAAAAAAGACAACTGTAATTAAAGCTAATTCCATAGCTAGCTAACTAATAATTTAAAGCATACAAATGTCTCACCCCTTTTTACACTTCACCGTGTCACATAAGTGCTCCACTCAAAAGTTCAAAGTGATTAAGTGCAATACGACCGCTTTGGAATATGCATTTGTTGTTGCTCATGCAAAATGCTGATTGCAGAACTAAAAGTCGGTTCACCTATCTATAAAAGCGAAAAATATGATGCATTGATACTCATTGTTTGTATCAAAATATCCGTACGTGGTTTAATTACGCTCGATCGTTTTAACTACTGGAAGGATGACGAAGGAATTTGAAGATACTTGGGCATATAATACAATTGGTTCACCGTTCCCGGATAATCCTGTTAGGGTGAAGGGTCAACAGAACATGTACGTTGCATTGTGGTATAAATTTGGCAAGCCAATTCATGGACGAGCCTGGAACAATAATGGAAATGTAGAATGTTCATTCCCGTATAGCAAGGTATGTATGATATTTCACGCCTCATCTCTAAAAGTTAGAAGAAAAGTTAGTATAGTTTAGACTTTTTCGAGCTTTTCGTAGAATCGATTACTTTGTAAAGAAAATTTTCAAAATTCGATGACACCGGCTGGTTATGAGTAGAGAAAGATCGATTATTAAAAATTGTGTTTACTTTTGATTTCTTCGTTTACTTTTATTTTAACCTCAAGAGTCAACTTAATTTAGCATTAACTTAATTCAAATTTGCAATGATACTTTCTAATTTTTCTTCCTTAAAAGAATGTTCAAGTTGAAATTGAATCTCATCAGGTGGAACTAACAGGAGCTCGTGACTTGGGTGGACAAATCCAAATTCTAACATGTAGCGAGCAGGATCCGGTAGAACAATTCAAAAAAAGTGGTTTTTGGTATGAATGGCGCCCATACAAAGATCGTGAGAATGATCAGTTGCTACAATTGGTACGCTGCGGCCAGTCAATTCCGGTGTTAATGACAACGAAGGACGGGAAGAGTTTACTTGGCTACATCGATATGAGCAAAGATGTGGCCAATGTTGGTTACAAGGGTAAAAATGAGACACTTGCGGGTGGTGAAATTCAGGTAACATTGTAAATATATGTAAAATTTATACATGTTGGTTAACTATACAAATTATGATATGATATATTCGGGTCAAGTTCCAATGATCTTTGCATGTAAGAAAAAAGAAATGAGTTGCGCAAATGTATTATTTTCGATAATATGCATTATCGAAAATCATTTTATCACATCCTGTTCGCCTGGTAACTTACTGAAAGCATATGTGCTGTACAGAATTTGCTGGTCCTCTTTCGAAATATTAAAACTCCGCCAACTGGTATTAAGATTTATGAAGATACCTGGATTGATCTCAAATACCGTGATCCATTTCCGACAACAAAAAATCCGATTCCTGTAAGTTAAATAAAGCAACATTTCTATTTATTCGTTCTTTTTCTCTTTTCGGCTAATTTTTATCAAAATTTAGCTATTATCATTTAGGGAGCTGATCGTAAACTAAAAAATGATGATGGCTCGGAGACATACAGCTATGTAGCATTATGGTATAAGCATGGCGAACCTGTTTTCGGACGGGCTTATCCCGACTCCAGTGGAAAAACATTGGCACATTTCGGTTGGAATGGTCAGGAAAATGCGGGTGCAGAAATTGGATCTATGCAAATGATCGTTATCCCGCAGCCCGAAAATGTTAGAAATACGAATTATAATAAATAATATATGAGTCTTACAAGAGATTTGCTGTGGATATCGTTAGCACGGAAAAAGTATTCAAAAAATATGAATACAGATGAAGCGGATATATTTGATTTACTCAATTGCAGCTTGGTTTCGAGTACAAGTGGATATCATATAAAGAAGTCAAGGGTGGTGGTGGTTCATTCAAACCTCTTCATGTCGGTGATTGCGTACCGTGTGTACTGAAAACGGCGAAGGGTGCTGAATTACTGGGAAATTTACATGTAAAGATGGAAAAAGCAACAGCCGGCTTTGGTGGCAAGGATTCTGCGGTAGTCGGGCCAGCTGTTTTAGATTTCCTTGTGTTGTGTCGAAATGGATACAAATGAAGCGAAAGTCATTTCAATGCTACCACTAATCTGTGGAATTGTAATTTCAATCCATATGATAAGTGATATCTTGATCTTCATATTGACTCTAATTCTGCACAT